CTAAGAATGTTATTAAAAAGTAAGAAATAATTATTAGATATGGTTTTTAGAATCAATAATAGGATACCAGACTTCATGTTGAAGGGAAAGTATTTTTTTTATTAAAAATTAAACTGAAAATATGTGTTATAGTTGCGATCACAAAGTCTAGTGTTGGAGGGTGGATAAATATATCCGTTAATCGAGACAAGTTAATTTTCACTTTATCTTTGAAACCGAATCTTTTAGATGAACTTTTGTGGTTATTACTACCAGTGAGTAACAGGAGAGAACCTACAAAGAATCTTTGGACCATGAATATTAACGTGGGGTCATTAAGGTAATTATCTTTAGAAGTGGTAGATTTAGGAAGTTTATCTGAGACCAATATATATATATATGTATGTAATGCGTACGCCAAAGACAGCTTTAACTTTTTAAAGAGTGCGAGACAGTTTAATAAACCCGCTCTCCATCTACTAATGTTACTCTTTACAGCGTTACAGTCCTAAGATCTCTACACGATAAGAGAGGTCGAACTCACATGAGTAAAAATCTATAAGAAACAGTAAAAAACCCCGGTGCAGTTTGTTTGGAGGCATGCAGTGTCATCAGCCTCGTAACACTGTAGCCACTCGAATAAGGCGTCGTCGCTTGCAGATAAGATTCATTACGAAAGCAGTTAGGGAGAAAGTCAACTTCGCGTGTTGTCGTGGAGGTGTGGTACGCCATGATCACAGCGACTTCGAATTTAGCAGCAGCAAAGTCAAATAAGGTGGGCGTCGTCCTTAGTCAGGTGGAAGATGTTGAAAAGGTTATATACGAGCCTCGGAGAATTGAGCAACGACCGTAAAAGTTCTGGGATTAGTTCTTAGTAACTTCTTTTCGTCGCCCAACTAGAACAAAATTGGTGGATGATTCCGACGAGAGTTCTAAAAAGCCTCCGTCGCCGTGGGAATAAGAGCATTTTCAAGGTTGATTTTTAATACATTTGGTATCCTCTTCTTCGCATGAGTGCTGGGTACTGTAAGCCTAAGACGCGCAGTCAGCGCTTCTCCGTATAATATTTAAAAAACTGACTTTTGAGTTATTCACACGGCTATCCAGACAGAGTGTTTGCAGTTAAGGCCCTTACATACAGAGACTGAGGAATAATATATAGTAAGGATGGTAAGTAACTGAGGTAACAAGTGGCTTACTGGGGGACTTGTAAGCTACGGTTACCGATGGAAACACCAACCTTCTTAACTCTTTAGAGGGATAAAAACGATATCACACTATGTCGGAATTTGTCTTACCAAAATAGCTCTGCCTCCGTCGCCTCTAACGACGCGGTCATAACGATGCTTCGAGAAGTTGCATAGATTGAATAAATGCTGGGAAAGCGAACCTCACTAATAATACACAGTTCAATTATTTTGCTTGCATCTATTCCTCCAATCTTGAAACCAGTTTTCGAACCGTTGGTCACGGTGTTAGGGGTTCGTGTGAAGAGCTGTCTTTGTGATCAAGCGAGCGGCATAGGAATTTAGTTAGATCGGGAGAGGACTGCTTCTAAAGTGTTGGTAGAGCAATATAATCGCCGGTAATGCTTGCGGTTATGATAGTTGGTGGTGTGCGCTTTCCGCAATTAGCACAATTGGCAGGACTTGCTGATGCTTTAGTGCGCCGCCGTGTAGTCACCACAATTGACGTCTCGGAGGTCGCAGAGCAGAAAAAACTTGCGTTATGCCAAAAGTCCTAGCGGTGACTGTCCGACTCGATTACCTAGGAGCTCTTTCACCTTAATTTGAAAATGAAAAACTGTCGTTAATTCTAACAGCTTGTGCTAATCATGCCTGGGTACATGCACTAATACTGTTGGTAAAGGACGCTTTGTGAGTTTTCCTTTAACAGTGCCCCCCGTGTGCATTTAGAGGCGAGATTCCTTGCGTGCGCAAGCCTCCCTCGACGGTTTAGACATCGCGATCGAGATCGCAAAAGATTTTGCGAAGTAACAAATTTTAAAGACCTGTTCTCCGGTAGTTGGTAGGTAAAATGTGATAGCGCTTCATCACGCATAAGCGAAGCGATGGCTCGATATTCCTCTGCTGCTGCTGGAAATATCTTAAATCTTAATATGTATCTGTGAGATCTTGGCGCTGTTGGCTTGCAAAAGCTTTTCAAATAATTCTTTTTCTATTTTCGCGGCGAACCACAGGCGAAATTTTAAATTTCGCCTAAAAGGAAAGGCAACCGCGGAAGATGGTTTGAGGGTTGCTGGGGGTAAATCGGGTATTTAACGAGTATTGTCCATATCTAAGTTAAGGCTATCTTTGCGCTTTTCAAAAGATATGGAGTATCTGTGTCTACATACTTTATAGTTACTGATAGAGTTTTTAGAGCTATTACGAAGTCATTAAGGTTATTTTCAAAATTATCATTACTAAATTCATTCTTAGCACTACTATCTTTATTACGGTATTAATATTATTAGTGTCATTATTATTATCTGCCTTTTGTCACGAAAACATCTGCTTCACTTTCTTCTTTGACTATTCTTTTCAAGACTTGTTTAATAATTATAAAAGAATAAAAATTATCTTTTTTTTTTTAATTGTTATAGAAGAAATTTTTATCAGTCCCTTTCATCGTTTAACCTCTTTTTCATAGGAGAAATTTTTTCAAAATCCTGTAACTTCAATTTTACAGCCGAACAGCTCTTCACTAAAATTCTTAATAATTAGCTAATAGATTAGCAATTGTCGTCCGTGAATTGCTTTCCAGAAAAGAGGAGTTCATTTCATGAAAGTTAAATATTTTATAGCAAATCTGTAGTACAGCGTTCGCATACTAAATGACAATTATTTTGTTTGCATGTTGAGAACTATTATATTAAGAAATGTAGAATATAAAGTAAGCACGTGGTATGAACATTTACAAAACTACGTGGAAATTAAAAATATGCAGACTAACAGGTGGTACAAAGACACAAGACACAGTGTTTGTTGTAACTTGACACCATAATAATTGATTTTCTGCTTCTTAAGGCGGGCGTCCATTTTTTGGCGTGGTTTGTCAGAGTTACTTTCAACAGTTTTAGCTCCTTACGCTTATAAAAGATCTTAAGATCATAACTTTTACCTATTTGCCTAAGCTGGAAAGTGTGTTTTCTAACTCTTTTAACACTAAACTTAAAAGAACTTATTTTGACTAGAAATTTGACAACCATCAATACATTAAGTAATTTTTAGACAGCACCGTTCATTTTACTCTCGCAGCTATGTGAGTTGATGGTTAAAACTTTCTTAATGCTTACTTAACAGATACCGCAATAACTGGGAGCCCGTCGGTGAGCAGCCACATTGTGTAAATGTTGATATCATTTGGCTCAACCTTGGCGCCCGCTAAATTATTACATGGGGCTGGGCTGGCCAATTTTTGTATTAGTGAAATTTTTTATGTACGACACAGATTAGAACACCTGTGGCTTTAACAGGAAATCCAAAGGTAACTAGAATATTCATTTAACAAGGTAATCGTCTACCTCTCCCAAAATCGGTATGACGAGTGGATTTAGTTACGGGCTATATGTATTATGTCTTACCTTACGCACATCTCCCAGAGCGCTCTACCTTTTTCATTTAAGGTCTTATATTTTGCATTAACGAGTTCCTTTGCTTAAAAGTATGTTATGCTTTACTACAGAAGTAACGTTCAATTTAGTCTTTCTATGTTATTTCTTATAGGAAGCTTGGGTTTTTTTTTTTCGTTTAAGTGCTCCTAAGAACGTATTAAATTCAATTAATTTATTAGTTTTCATTATTAATTATTGTGAAACCTCATTAATAAATTTATACACTCTATCTTATTGAATATGCTCTGTTGCGTCACCTTTGGAATATCCATTGGTAAAAGTATTCTAGTAAATCTTCTTTTGAGGGTTAACGCATTAAATTTTACGATAAAGTACTTCAAAAATAAAATAAGGTGCCTTATTAGGTTACAAAAATTGGACATTACTTAGTAAAAAGTTTTTATAAACAAAAAGATGTAGATCTTAATTTATAAGGCTATCAAAATTATACAAAATGCCCTATAAAATTTTAACTATGTTTCGCAAAAACGCTTTTAACAAACCTAAATTTAAATAAAACAATAAGAAATTGCCAATTTTTAAAGCAGGAAGCGAAGTTATTGATCGAGGCCACAATATCGTACATTTTTACAAAAAACGAGAAGCTGATTGGTCCAGACTTGAAAGCCCTACCTTGAACTCTTAATCCTCAAAAGCAAAGATTTTAATGTCAGAAATGAAAGGAAACATAACTATAATAATCAATTTCTCGATGAGAGTGTTATATTATTTTCATTGATTAGTTAGTTCCTAGTATATACAAGTTATCTTTTTCTCCGCAAAATTTTTAGACTATGTCTCGAATCTATTAGTAAGCTTCGGCAGACTTAAGTATCTAACTATGAAAGAGATCAAATATGAGTATAAATCAAGGTTTAAAGCTTTGCAAATAGAGTGACTTAATCTGCTTACACGATCTTGCTACTACTTTAAGGAGTTGATCCTTTGAACTTTAATGAAGTCGATTGAGACTGAGTTCTTATTAGTGATCACCATGTGTATTCTTTTAAGTATGTAACGAGGCGGATTGAGCCTTTGCAAGTTTTTTCTTTTCTGCACCTGAGACCAAAAAGGGTATAAATTCTGCTCTATCTGTATATCTTAGGCAGGTTATATCTTATCTGTGTTGTTAAAGGTTTTTTGGTACTAAAAAAGGTCTTTATAAGTTAGTTCTCCTTATTATATAAATTTATTTTTCAGTTTCTTATAGCCAATCAGTATTCTTGTTTTCCTAATTAACTTTCATATTTTTTTGGGTTAGACAATATTTTACTTCTACTAATCATGATCTTTACTTATAAAACCCTAACCACCTCCCACTGACATTAGTTTTATGTTTACACGTGTATTAGCTGATTTTAAAATATTATATTCAGCGACAATTTCACCGATCATTGATCTTTCGATGTGCTTGTTAAAGCGTTACAGAGTTGTTGGCTGCTGGGGCTATCGATCGCTTAGAAGGTGCTTGTAAGCATTTAGCCTTTCTCTGTTATTCGTCTATTTCTTCATACTTTTGGCCGTAGATTCCTATTGTTCCCCTGTGGTATTTTGAAAATCACCCTTCTTATTTGCAAACTTTTTCTCTCAGAACTACTTACTTTTGCAACTTTTCTACCAGCAATGGTAGCTCGGGAATTGGCCACTACGATCTTGTAGTTATTGGAAGCGGTTACCCATCTTTTATTATATTTCATATTTAAAAATTTTGGTAATAGTTATTATTTACCAAAGTAAATAGTTTATATAAAGGCATACGTCCAGTAGCATGATTTATTTTTTTATACAAAATATGGTACTTTTAAATAATTTATGACAATATTTTTGAAGTATTTTACCGTGGAGGCGGAGGGGATCTCTTTCTAAGTTTTGCTTTGCACTTATCTTGTTAATTTAATAATTACAGATTTAGGGAAATATTCTTAGTTGAGAGGTTTAACAACGAATATTGTCTATTATAATCTTTTTATAAATTAAATGCATCTTAAGAGAATATTAAAATGTGTCAGTATTTGATCTTTATTCAAGTGCGCTTTCAGGATTTTGTTCTGTTATTACTTTGTAACTGATAATAGGCCCCGCTGCACAGAAATGCGCCATTGATGCGGCAAAAAGGAATAAAAGTGTAGCACTAGTTGATAAAGTAATATTTTTGTAATTACATTCTATTATATACTTTACTAATTTCCCCCGTACTTATGAAACTCTTGCAAACATAGAATAATATGCTTGGCGGTGTCTGTGTCCATACGGGGACTATTCCCTCCAAAACCTTCCGTGAGGCTGTCTTGCATCTCACTAGTTTTCGAGATCAAGGTACGGTGTTTAAGGAAACTTTCATGAAAGTCTGATAAACCGAAATTTACAGGATTTTACGGTAAACCTTACTTTGCGGGCAACCTGACTGTTAGTGATATTCTTCGCCGGGTTACTTTTGTTGAAGAAGGAGAGACTCGAGTGGTTCGGGATCAACTCCAACGAAATGACATACAAACTTTTAAAGGACGAGCGAAGTACACACTCACAAGGCCACGTCACTGTGTAGATTACCGTTACTTCTTTCAGATTTCTTGATCAGTACACCGTTGAGCTGGAGCTTGAAGACGCACCTCTTGCTAGTAAGCTAATCTCAGCGGGTAAAATCATCTTACAGCTATGGAACTTTTTTTTTATTGGGCAAATATTAGATCACTTTTTGATAGCCACGGGAACCCGCCCTGTTCGCCGAGCGGATTTGCCTTTTGACGGGAAGCTCTGCTTTGACTCTGACCAAGTTTTTTTTCTGCAGTCTTTTCCTTTTTTTTTAACTCAAATATTCTTCGGCAAAGCTTTTAAGAGGCGAGTGGAGGGTTCCTCGTGATCTTATAGTTGCGGGTGGTGGTGTAATAGGTATAAACTTATGTAGTTTTGGTTTTTCGTGTTTTACTAGTGTTTGCGAAAGGAATGGAGTATGCTTCTATGCTTTCCATTATCCCCGGCAGCCGTGTTACCGTTATTGAAGAGAAAGAAAATGTTTTAGGCTTTGCTGACAGGGAAATAGTTGAAGGTTTATGTCACGTGATGCGTCAACAGAGCACTCGGTTTCTGCTGAACGAAAGGATTAGCTCTGTGAAAGTTTTTTCTAGTAAAACGGTTCTATTTAAATGTTACCCATAAACCTGCTAAATACCACTTTGCTCTTTTTGCAGGGTGGTAAGCGCCTTTCCGTCTTTTTAGAAACTGGAAAGGTTGTTCATGGGGATGCTCTATTGTACACAGTTGGCAGACAAGTACAGTTTTTAAATCTTTTAAAATTATATAAAGCTCTCCCCTTTACTAGGGCAACACAGACACCCTGGGCTTAGTGTCCATTGGCATACAGCCAAATGAACGAGGGCTGATACAAGTAAACCAGTACTACCAAACAACACTTCCTCATATTTACGCTGCCGGTCCCTTGCTTTATTATAAAACGAAACCCTTCTGCCCTATTCTCTTGTGTTCCGCTTCTAGGAGATTGCATCGGCTTTCCTGCACTTGCCTCTACTAGCATGGAGCAAGGACGCTTAGCCTCATGCCACATGTTTGATAAAAATAGTTTTCCAGAAGGTTATAAAGGGATAAAGCAGTTTCCTTTCGGGATATACACCATCCCAGAGATCTCTCTTATTGGTCCTCATTCTTAATTGGGGTACCTCATTTCGCATACTATTTTATATTTATAGGCTATAGTGAAGAGTCTCTGACAGCTATGAGAATGTCTTATGAAGTGGGTATAGCTCGTTACAAGGAATTAGCTAAGGCACGGGGTTATCTTTCTTTTTTGTTTCCATAAAGATATATTTACCTTCTAGGGGCAAATGCTGGGTGGCGGCTACGGGCTACTAAAAATTCTCTTTGACACTCGCACTCACGAGATACTTGGCGTTCATTGCATAGGAGAGGGGTACGAAAACGTTTTATTGATCGGCGAGCAATTTTTATCTTTGCTATTACACTGCTAGAGCTACCGAGATAATCCATATTGGGCAGGTTGCTATGGACGCCAAGTGCCCCATTGAATACTTTCGGGACGCCGTCTTTAACTACCCCACCATGGCAGAAGCTTACAGGGTTGCCGCAATCAATGGTCTACAAAAAACTCATGATCATGTGAGTGCATGAGTATATTGTACTGTGTTGAGCCAGAGATTCGAAACCCCACCTTTTTAGTTACTTACATGTCAGTCTTACACACTTCGGTTATTCGCACTGTAGTTAATAAATTATATCTATTATTGTATTCAGTTTATAAAAAAGTTTAGTCTACACTAGAGCTAAATTCTTTACACATACAGGCTATTACCATATCTGGCAAATCTCAAGCAATATGATCGTTATATATATAGGTTTAAAGTTAGGCGCTATACTGTAAAGAAGATAGCTTCTATAGTTTTTTTAATGTTAGTATTTTATAGTTACAAAGTAATACTATATTTATAAGAAATTGTTTAGTCTGTAACTTTATAATGTAAGTGAGACAAACCTGCTTAAATTTCTCCTTTCTTACACGAGGATTTTTATAGACTTCACTTGATAACGAATTGTTTCTTTGTGCATCGGGTTCAGTAATCTACTTTTTTAGCTTTCTAAGAAAATAGCAGGCGAGTTATTAAATTTCACGGTTATATTTTAGCGTAAAATTACGGAGGTATCAAGATGCATCTTAAACGGAAAAAAATTTGTATACTTTAATTCTTAACTTTAATTCTTACTAATATTTTGCGTTCTAAAAACAGGGCCAAGAGGATAACTTATTCGGCTCCATAGTGAGCTTTTAATTTAAATTACTTTTTTTGTTTTCAAGTAGTCAAGTGTCAAGAAGTTTTATATCTTCGGTAGGTTCTTGTAGACGTTCTCTGTCAAACATTTATGACAGGTCGATACATGATAAATCACTTTTAAGTGAATTAAGATAAAAGTGTATATGCATAAGTTCCAAGTTTAAGAATTGAAATTTTTGCCTATGTTACAAAAAAATACCTTTCAAAATTCAAGTGCTCCTTAGGAATACTAGAGCATCCACATTCTTTTCTTTACTTATAATTTTGATATAAAAAGAGACTTACACAAAACAAACATAGACACGTTTTTTTAACTTTATTTTTAAAAAAGTGCGCTTAACTTTGGGACCCAAAGGGCCGTTAAGCAATAGCACACTACGTAGATATATTGCTAAATAACCGCTTAAGGCCCTCTTTAAAAAGGTTATGTGACCTTTTCTTTCCACTACACGTTTGTGAAATGAATTGTAAAGGTACACAAAGAATTTTAAAGGTTTTCGTGAAACACTTTACACCTTACCAAATGATAGTAGTTTTTCTTTTCAAATAAAAATTGGAACCAAGATATCTCTAACCTTCTAAAGCTGCCTTTTTTTTAAAAATAATATAAAAGTTAGGAGTAATGCAAATACTCATCGTAAAGCAGTGCAGACTTTCAATAATTATAACGTCCGACAACCTTTTCTAATTAAGAGAGTAGATAAAAAGGCGGACAATCGTTAGCATACATTATGGATTTTTCGAGTTTCGAAGTAAAATTTTGCTGTGAAAGGCCCAATTGGTTAACAACGTAAATCCATCAAACCTCAGTTAAGACTTGTCATCGTAGCTCAGAGGTTAAAAGAAAATAAACTTGTTGTCGTGGATTCGATTTCCACCGACTTGGCTCTCTAATTTGGTCTTTGAAGGTTGTGTGTTTAATTCGCCAGTTAAAGAATTTTAATGCCAAAATAAAACCAGTTGCAACATAAACAAACAAAAGGGAGCTTATGCTCCACAAGCATTTAGTATTTTTTTATGGCCTCTAAAGGATACTATTAACAACGTTGCAACACCCGGGTTTATTTAACTACATTAAGATGCATTATCACGATATATTTCTTTCGTCTCAGGATTTTAACGAAAACTTTTTAAAAGCCCTTTACATATAAAACATCTTATACGCACCTGAGTGCGCTGCTTTATAATTCGGAGAAACAGGATGTATGGGATCTCTTAAAAAATAATGCATCTGATGGCTTAAAGGGTTCAGTTTATAGGCTATAAACTGTATAACTGAGCTGTTAAGGCTTACTAAAAATTTATTGAGTTTTAATTGTCTATTTTAAAAGAGAGATGTTGGAAGTGATAATAGTGGACTCGGCGGTAAGGCAAACATTTGTAGTTTCCAATTTGTGAAAGATGGAAACTTAAAAAAAGGGGTATTTTGTAGGCGGTAACAGCTTAGGGAATATATTAAAGAGAAAAGTTTTAAGAGTGGAAGGTCATGTAGACCGTCGAAAAACGCAACTCCTAAAGAGGACTCCCCACAATTGGGTGCGATTAAACCCACGTTCACATAGACTATTCTTGAACGTATTCGTCTTCAGTTTCCCCTATTGTAGCCAAATTAAACCATCATTTAACTATTGATTAAAAATCAACGTGTAGCCTCTCAGTTTTCATTTTTTGGGAATGTGTAGTTTTTAACAATAAAGATGTAATGCCGACGAAAGGTTCGCCAATGAAAGGAGTTTCTGTAGCTCTGGATAGTATATTACTCTATGTTTTATAGAAATTTCGTCCGCTCCTGGGGAAATTTTCACGCGGGTGGCGATGTGAACATTGCCCGATAAATCTAAAGGTTTTCTTCAAATACAATTGGTTCGGGTTGTTAATTGTGCGTAATTATTCGCAACTGCTTAAGATTCCCCAACCGAGATTTTGGGTTCCATCTGGGATCAATGAAAAATTTAGGACTGCCAAATACTATGTAATGAACTTAACCATCCCACACACAAGCTAATGACTTTTATCTTCTGTTTGCACTATTTAATTCATGCTTGCTCTGGACATGAACAACACACAATTTCTTTTTCCACACTTCCATAGCTTTCTTAAGTTTAGTTCATATCGGTTTTCCCAATTACACATTGCCTTTTTTTTTAAAAGGCTATTAAAAATGTCGATAATAACGCATTTTTAACAATATTTAACTACATTAATTCCAAACTTATAAGAAGCTAAGTGAATCTGTTGGTTTTCAAAATTTGAGTACTGTTTGTTTACAATTAGCTTATCTGATTTCTTTTTCAGGGGTTTTCTTCATTAACCTCTAACTTTGTTTATTAAAATTACACTTCCTCAGTTGACCTTAAATTTATCGAATCTGAAATTCTTAGAAAACCTTTCAATGTGTTCTTCTTGGGATCAGATGCTATCAAGCAGTTAGCAACATGCTTTTTAATATTCAAATGGAGCATTTACGTTTTTATTTTTTAATATTAAATAAATTTTTAAGATTATTATTGTATTTTAGAAATTTAAAAGTAAATATTAAAAAATATTCTATAAACTTTTTATATTTTTATTTGTTAAAAACACTAAGATATTTTGTATAGTTAATAATAAAATTATTTATATAACGATTATATCAAAAGAAGAAAATATTATTATATTTTAAATTATATTCATTAATATTACTATTATAATTAAGAAGTAATTAATTTTTCTGTAAATATAATAATTTTATTTATTATTATTGTATTTATTAATATAATTACTATTCTATTCATTAACTGTAATATAATTATAATATTAATATTTGTTATTGTTGCTATTATAGCCCACCCACTTAACCCGTCCATTTTATGTTATGATAAGAAGTAAAATACCTTTTGATTACTTATTTTTTTTTTAAAAAATGTCCTTGGCGCTATTAAAGCTACTGAATTCCGTTTACTTCCAATCTATGCCCCTCTCCCTGGACGTCCCCATCCTTCAATAAGGCATTTTATATTAAGTTTTGAGAGCATCTCTAAGAACCATGGTTCATGTATAATATTATGCTCCTAACAGGGTACAAATGGAGAAAATAAAGGTGAAGTTATTAAGTTAGCTTTCATTTGCACCCGAGGACTAAAGCTTCTGACCGATTCGTACTTATGTATAGGATAATTAGAAAGACAAAAACTTGTACACTAAGAATGCGCATCTTCCTATTTCGTATACTGGTCAGTCTTAATCTCTTGCTAACCGTCACAGTTATACTGCTTGTAAAAAAATTTCTTATAAGGTTTCACATCACATCCAATTAAACCACTTTCTATGGCACCCAATATTTGACTGATTTACACGTTAACTTTGAGGTCTAACTATTTTAGTTGGATTTTTAAGGTATGCATTAGTAATGTTTTTAAGTCCACGAAAAATTCCAGAAGGTTCGTGATATTCCGAAATGTGCGCTTAAATAAACGGGTATAAGCAACTCTACCCTCTGCAAATGCTCGACAACGGCCCTGATGCTACTGAGATTGCTGACGATGCCGTTAATATGGATACATGATCTGTACCTCCTAGTAAAATCTGCGATGGTTTTTTGGAGCTTTTCCGAACCGATAGAAGACGGTGACTGTTGTGATGCCCCAAGGACTTTTAAACCGGTATCAGCAACTAGCAAGTACTGACTTGTCAGTCTCCTGTCAGCGGGTAGGCAAAGTGGGTGAGGCCTTTTTACTGCGCCGTCATAAAGAGGTCTTTCACAACTTCGGCACATCCCTTGCCGGAATTTCAGATAAGGGACTCAAAGACCCAGCAGCCCCTCCGCTTAACTGAATTTAATACTCGCTTTTAACTTTAAGAAAGTAACAAACGCTGTCTTCACGTTGAAAAAGCATTTGATTAAGTTTGCCATGAAGGGCTGCTGCATAAATTGCGCTCTTTATCCGATTTTCATGGCATTTACAATGTGCTGAAGTTATTTATAAATGTTTGCTTCTTCAGCGTGCGCATGAGAGGTACACAGACACCGCTGCGATCTCTGACAGCAGAGGCCCCTCAGGGATCACTTCTCTCCCCTTTTATTTGCAATTTATGTGAGCGACTTTTTTTTTTGCCCTTGCCGTCAAATCCGCACGCACTAGTCACCCTTTACACCGATGATACGGCCGTTTACTCATCGTCGAAGTCTCCCCCCTTGCTATGCAAGCATCTACAGCGCTATCTTGACGCCCCTACTGGCTGAGGCGTTCATTGGAAAGCTTCTATAAATGCGCCTTTTAACTACTAAGAACTGCGTTCCGTTGTTGGGCCCTTAACCTTTGATGACGTGGGATTGCGTGATATGCTCTAGCGAAATACTGGGGTCATCACTGACAACGAACTTTCCTGGCAGCCGCACGTGGACTATGTAGTGGCGAAGGTAAAGGCAGCAACCAAGGAGCTTTACCCTTTATAATGCGACAAGAGCAAGTTTTCCCTACCAAACAAACGGCAATTGTATATGTCTATGTCTTACATCCAGCCAAAAATGACATACGCGTCTGCTGCTTGGGCCTACGACTCCACTGCAATAGCGTCGGCACTTGAAGTGCGACAGAACAAATTTAACTGCGAATGATTACAAAGACAAACGAGTTGTGGTTTATGCGAAATGAAGCCTTTCACCGGGGCCTTCAGTTATACCCTTTAGACGTCGTCTTCCAAAGTAATGCCAATGCCCTTTACGATAGGCTAGTCAGGCACACAAATTGCCTGCTGGCGAGCGAACCTATTTACGAGCCATGGGGTGGGGCACACTAACGCCTCCCACTTCACGCGCGGAAGCGCCAGTTTTTGTTTGTTAATTTTAAGATAATAATGAGACCGTTTCGATTGAAAGGTACTGTGTAATAAGTCTGCGGTCACTACTCATTTTGAGCTCGAGTATTCGAAGATTTTTGACTCGATCGAGCACCAGGGGCCAGGGACTGTCATTTATAAATAAATAAATGCTCGACAAGCAAAGTAATGTTTAAATTGATTTCAGAAGTAGGTGGCCCCCTTCTTGTGTATATCTGACGTATAACTCTATAAAATTTGTAAAACTGATCTCGTAATTAATTTCGCTATTACTTTAGACCCCATAGTTTTTATATTAGACGAGAAGGAAGAGAACTACAAAAATGCAAGAAACCAACTAATAAAATTTTAAAATTGCAGCCCCTGGGGGGTTTCTGTCCATACTGGCGGTAGCCTTGTGCACACAAAACTTTAGCCTCAAATAAGGCAAGTGGATTTAGCTTCGTATCACTACGTAAATGCTACTGCAAAGCAGTAAAATAAGCTGTAAAAAAACCATATCTGAATTTTAATTGTTCCCTCACTACTTAAATATATATTTACTCTGATGAAGTCTATAAGCCTTTATTAAAGTAAGAGCTGTAATCTTACACTTCAAATTTGGCGTTGATAATTTTAGCAAAGTAGGTGTTAAGCTAGACGAAAGAAACGTTTAAGCCGGTACAATATATTATAGTGCAAAAGAAAGAGGACTTGGTCTTGGTAATTATGCTTCAAAGTTTTTAAATTTTCGACTAGAGAAAGAGCGAGGCGACACCAAGACTCGGCAAGCTTGAACTCTAATGAGCTAAGAATTACAGACTGTAAGAACTCCTTTACAAATGGACAATATATAAAGCTGCCTATAAAACTGAACTCCGGTATTCCAAGCCTTTGTGAGTAGCCACTGGACCTCAATTTCGGGAAAAACCTGCATACATTGAGGTAGTGATTTACAATATGAAATACTTCTACGTACAAAAGCTGTATTATTAAGGAGCTCCTGAACTTTCATAATTAACTCCTCTGCCATAGAATACTCTTTCGAGGCCAACTTGATATCAATCAATTCCCGGTAAGCCTTTTAAACCAATAATTAAAAAGGTTCTTTAGAAAAACTAAGTAAAAATACGGTTACTACTTTGTAATACTAATACCTGAAGGAGAAAGCTGCCGTCGTTTAACGTTATAGGTTGCTTAAGAGTTTTTTCTAATGCAAAGATTGCAACTACCTTTCCATCAGGTTTTATATATATTTTATTTGCAAAAAAAATACCCTTCACATTTTGGGCTTCTTTTGCAGCACCTGCGAAGATGTAATAGGTAACGCTACAATGATGCTATAAACATAAGGTACTGGCCATCGACAGGAGATAACTAGCGCAGTCATCCTTGCTTGCTAACTCCTAATTGTTACAAGTGTAAGTAAGACTGTATAACCACATACACTCTTGCTTGGTGCATAGTTTATATAAATATTTAATGATATGATTTTCGAAGACTAATGTTGTCTTATGAAAAAAAACAGTAGTGAAGGCAAAGAATAGCGTAAAACTGTGCTTAAACAGAAACAATCGATGGTGAGGGTACCCTAGGCCAACATTTTAATATCGGTGTATTTATTACGCCAAAAAAAAAATTTTTTTATAATAATAGTTTTAAAAGATGATCAAACTTTTTAGAGATATTGACAATTTTGGAGAAACTGTTTTGTAAAAAGGAAAAACGTTCACGCCAACATGGACGCCGATAAACGTTCTTTAAATTTTTAAAAAGGTTGCTTATGATTACAAAATAGAAATACTTTAATCGTGAGATTCTTAGTAGGTGTTGTTCTCTACAATATTATAAAATGCGTTTAGTTCTTTCCTAGTATATAAGGTTTATGGTCTTATTTATCGGGATGTTGGGTCTAGCATAATACAAGGTTTTTATTGTATTTTTTACACTAAGAAAACCCAAAGTATACAAAAGAACTATAATCACATATAAGAGAAACTACTTGTAGTAATATAAGTTAATATATTTTCGACAGATACTGGTTGTTTTTTTACCTCAATTTTTCTTATTGCTCCTTCGCTATCAAAAAAAACAAATCCACAAAATTCCAAGTAAAGCATGTCATTCTTTACAGAATCTGGTACCTTTCAAATTATAAAATGACGTAATGCTGCTAAGGCCTAAAAAAAGTAAAAAATTAAGCAGCTTGACCACCTCCAACTTTTCATTTATAAGCGAAGCAAATTCTTTATTAATTTCCAGAAAACGTTCCTTAAATTTTTCCTAATTGTGAAGTTTGTATATAGTATTAGAAAAGTTTTTTTAATTGAAGTAAATAACACGATAAAGAGTTTCTTTGAAAATATGCTAAACCCTAACTTTAGTCATTAGTGTAACAGTAGCTTCCTTATGTTACTTTAATAGCCCGCCTAAAGATAAGGCAGAACGCTCATCTTATAGTATAGTATAGTAATCCTTAATCGCCACCGCCTCTATAGACCGACCAAAGTCCAATATATATATATACTATAAATATAAAGGCCTCCCATCTCTGCTTCCCCTATAATGTTAGTTACCCTAACATAGCCTATATAGCGCTCTGCTTTATTCTTAAAGTTAATAAGTTATTCATCAAAAAACTTTTCAAGTGTACGTCTTACAGAAACTAAACAAGAATCGTTATTTTGGTTATATTTTTCATATTGGATCAATGCAACGCATTCAAATTTGAAGCTTGAAAATAAGTTATTCTTTAGTGAACTTGAGATTTGCTCAGATATACTTAACATTTCATATAACTATAAATTAATCATAAATTAATTTAATAAATTAACAAAAAGAACCTATAGAAGCTTATATAATTCTTTAAAGGTAATATAAGACGAGCGAAAAATGCAAAAGCTTAACACGCTTCTAATTGCCTGCAGTAACTAAAGTGAACCTTTCTGAATAGTCTAAAAAGATTGCAGCACAGCGTAGAGTTTTTTGAGGGGTCCTCTGCCCACAAACTGAGCGACAGATTCCAAGCTTTCACATTAAAGATAACATGTTAAACGCAATTTCTTAAGGATAGTAAGTTAAACCCTAGTTCCACAATACACCCTGTCTTTAACTCCATGTATATAATATCAGCTCTGTACTTAATATAATCATACAATTTTCGCAAAACCACAATGTATTGTGTGTCCAAGCTTCTTGGTCGTTTTTATTATTTCGAATAATATCGTGTGCTAGTTGGGAGCATAAAAAATGTAAAAGTTAAGTGCAGGCATGACTTGACAGTGCAAAACAAAAAGTAAAACCTCTTTCAAAAAAAGTTACTAGTTTGCAGTTCCAATTCCTCATTTTTTACTTTAGTAAAAAGTCGTATTTTAAGAAACAAGTTTATTTGTCAACTCTTCGTTTGGACGTATTCCGAGTCCTAGTCTCACTAGGCACCTTAAAATAACGCAGGCTTCCAAAGCTTCTACATCTTGGGGCATTTTAAGTTATTGAAAATTATTTAACATCCACTACGTACAACCATCTAGAATTTTTTCAAGAGCAAGAGCAGTAAGTATAGGATTGCGGTTCTTTAATAAAATTTAAAAAAAAATTATTGAAAACTCTTTTAAAAGTTAATTTTATTAATAATACCTGAAATGAAAAATACGCGCACAATGCCAAATAATTTTTTTTTTCGCTGTGGGTTGAAGAAAAGACGCTTCGAAGACACTTTTCGGCTGCATTATGTAAGCAGTAGTAGTCAATAAACCCGGATATTATAATAAAACATTAAGTTTAAATAGTATAAAATCGATTAAAAAATCTTAAGCAAGCAAGAAATTCTGTCACTTTACTCATTCTAAATAAGGCAATAGCGACATGTTAACAACACCAGACGTAAGTTCTTTTGTGTGTAAGCTCATAAACGGCAAAGAAGTACTTGCCTTCTTCAATACGATCCAAAGCCAAATATATTTTATATAATAAGCAATCCGTAATTTCCGTATAAGTTCTATCCTGTGTTGAGAATATTAACCATCAACGAGACGATTGTTTACAGTAGTAGTAAGTTACCTTAATTTTTGCAGCGAGGGCGTAATCTAATGCCTTTTCGTAGTCGTTTAGTTGAAGAAAACAGTGGCTTATTGCACTGGAAGCAAATACAATGACAAACTTTATGATTGCATCTCATGCATAAAGATAGCGCAACCGATAAGCTTTTCCAGCTAAATCCTTGTAAAGTTCGCTATTACAAATTTCGGCAATACATTTAAAGCTTGAAGGGATGCATAATATTGAAGAACATATAACTCAAACTGTCAAAAAATAACTGATGTGAAACAGACAAAATCGTTTAAAACAAGTTTTTTTATAAGGAGTGTATTATACTAAGCCGATAATTATATATATTGATAAAAGAACTACCCGGCCAGCCCAATTTTAAGATTGCCACTCTTTTATACGTCATATTAAGTATAATATAAAGGATTAGGCAGAAAGTACAATAACTGGATTATAGGAAGAAAATACTTCAATTTCTTTTTTCCCGTAAGTCCACAACTCCTTGATTAGTTTACGTAGAAAAGAACCGTCGGCTCTACAAAGTTGCTCTCTTAATTCTGTTATAAACCTCCATTAACTTTGGCGGTAACTCCTAAAACTTAAGCACAAACTTACTGTTTTCAATGGAAAGAAGCAACGAACTGGTAGTCTCCTCTTCTTCTATAAGCATGTAACGCAGTTGTAGAATTTGAACTGAGCAAAACTCAATAAGATGGCTAAATTTCGCCTTAATTAATTTTAGAAAATATAAGGCATTTTCCCTAAAAAAGGACCAAAATAGAAAAGTAATTTTTCATGATTGACACATATAGTGGGCTCTTATTCCACAAATTACCTATCGTTCTGGAGCAAAGTCTCAAATAAGATTTGAGCACTGTTTTTTTTGTAAGCGGTTGCTTTACGGTTTATACTAATAAAAAACTTACTTATTTACGGATAGAGATCCCAGAGAAGCAGTGCTCTTAAGTACTAAAGATAGAAGCCCATAAGGCAGTATTACAGAAGTTAACTTAAAACCCGAATAAATACTAACTTTCATGCCTGGTAGCACTGCCACTTAACTTTAGCTTTAGGTCAACCACCTGAATGGAAGGTGATATCTGCTCTCCCCATTTAAGCTTTTTTAAGCGATAGCGAAAACAAAAGAAAGAAGACATCACATTATAAGCAAGATCGCAACAATTTTGTGCTTTTAATAAAGCCTCAGAGGAGCCGTTCTTGAGGTAAATCATGCTCATAGCGCAAAGAGACCTCGCCTAATAAAAAGATACCATGAGATTACAGTGTTAGCTCTGGAGGGCGCCTTACTTGGATATCTTTAATCTCTTGACTCGAGGAAATATCGTTTAAGACTTCATAAGATTCTCTGAAGAATGCAGAAAGAAAGCGTAATAAGTGTTAATCAGTAAGGCACTAACTTTACTACCTAAAGTAGTTTAAAGCTGAGTCAAAATTATTCACTGCCAGTTCGTCACCACCACAGTTGTAAAGAAGCTTGGAAAAAACAAAGGCCTGTTTCGCTATTTAGTGATAGATCCCTCTGGTGACAAAAAATATACTGACTAGTTCGGGTACAACGGGCAACAAAATTTTAATTTGAAGAATTAAAGCGGTTGCATTGCTCTTTTGAAAATATTTCCACTCCTCGTAAAAAATATGAGATAAACTTTGTAAAACTAGGGACTTTATACTACCAGTTCCGTCAAGCATAAATAAGCGTTGAATAAATGTTTTGCAATATCTTTTTTTATATTTATATGGAAAATGCAATGCTGGTTAGTAACTAGTAGTCCACTTTACTGTCACTTTATAGATTAAGGGCACACACCTGGGCTAGGGCGCTTTTCAGGGGTAAATGAGCAAAGCTTGGGGTTTAATTAGAATTTTATAGGAAAAACTGCTAAGATTACTGCGTAATATAATTACCTGTATTACAGAAGTAAGGAGGTTTCTTGCTGTATTATTATCGCCAGCATCTAATATTAAAAAACAAGAAATTACCGAGTAAGAGTACTACTAAGTAGAAAAAGAATTTGAACTGCAAAGGCGATAGCACGATCATTTCGTTTAGAGTAGCTACTTAGTTACCAATATACGTTTTTGCGGTTTTATAACCCATCACGACTTTCTTTTGTAAAGCGGAAGGGGCGGCTACTTTGGAAGTTGATATCAAGAATAGACGAAGTGCCACATGTTTAACTGCTCAAAAAAAATGCCACATTATTTAACCCTTAATCATTAAACTATTTAACAGACTTTTAGCTTTGAGGACCACATTCTTTGGACCGCAGATCTTTTTTTTACCAAAAAATGCATATGTAGAAGCCATTGAAAGCAAGCTTAATAAAAAGTACTGAAAAGTTCCATAGTTCTATGGCCAGAGAACCAATTAGTTGGCTTCGAACTACGTTATGCTCCGATCTTTCTAGTGAATCAACGAGTTCTTCAAGTTCTGAGATATCTTCAATATTTTCTCTTTCTTTTAAAGTATTTACCCAGGCTTAAAAATTTTGATAGAAAAAATTAGTTTTGAATGTGGTGTTAAAGACATTAAGTACAATTTTTTGTAGATATCGATTCTTTTTTCAATTCTAAACTCATTTCTGATTAACATAGAATTTGTATTAAACAGTAAACATAAGTATAATAACAAAGGTTTGCTAAAATTTTTATTTTGTATGCATTGACACAAAATTTCCGGTAATTTTATAATAATTAAATAAATAATGCCTGACTCGCGCGCCAGGTAAGTCACGATCTTTATATAAGCTATTACTTTGCAGTGAGGTCACTAGGGATATTTTTGTAGAAGTTGTCTTCATGCTCACTATAATAAGAGCGGGGTGAAATCTACTATATAATAAGAAAGAACAATGAAATATTGAGATAACCACTTCTGTAAATGGAAGGATATACGACTTAGCTCTATGGTTTTTATACTGGGTTAAAATTTTATTCACTTTTTTTTTGTAAGCCAACAATTTTTCTTTAATTCCTTAAAATTGGCGCTTATTTCCCGTATTACTTTTAATTTTAGTAAATAGTATAGTTAAACTGACCCCGTCTGCATAACGTTATATCATAAATTTTAAGGTGGCATCAAAGTCCAAAAATATTGACTGCAAGGCAGGATGTTCGAAATAATTTTACAAGAAAAAGAAGAAATTAAAAGTTAGATGACGTTAAAAGAAAAAAAAAAAAGGTATAGATATATAAAAATAACAAAAGAGCAAGAAGGACAAAACCGCAGAGTTATAGTTTTTTTAAAATGAGCATTAATATATATATATCGCTTATAATCTAAGTAAAGGATGCATTTCAAAGTTTTTCTAACTATATGATTAGCCATAAAAACAATATTATAATAGAACATTTTTAAAAATTATTTAATAGCTTTAACTATAAGAATCTATTAAAGGTAATTTTCGTCTCCATGATGCATGTTAGATTAATTGTGTCAAAATAATCTGTAATATATTAGAAATATAGTAAAAAATTCTTTTTAGTCTATGAAGGGGTCCAATATTAGCAGTCTAGGTCCCAGTCTTTTTATTGTTATAATGCATACTACGTTTAGACTATAAGAGCTTTAAAGCTTAATCTGTACATCTTTAGAAGAAGCGTAACGAATAGTCTTGAAAGATGAAAGGGCTGCATAATTTTTTAGGCCCGGACCCTCGTCATACGGCTTGGCGTTATTTAAAACTACTAAAAAACCATCATTAGGAGAAGTAGCCATGATACAAGTCAAGGTCTACAAGACTGTCAGCTTTTACAAAAAGGGCAAAAAAAAGATCGTTAACTCCTAAGGTTAAGGTTCAATATTTTAAAGAATTACATCATTATTAAATACAAGTTAGACTTCTCTTTCTTCTGTCTAATAGCGGTTGTAAAGGCATTATAATTGAATACTTCTTTGTTTAAACTTTAAGAGGGATTGAACATAAATAACTACCAGTATAATTGTCCGTGTGCAGGCTTTTCTAATAAACCGAGGGAAGCTTTATTTAGTTAAATATTTTGCTTAATAAAAAGAAAATTTTAAACAAAATAATATGTAACCATTCTTGCGCATCGACATACAAATGCTCGCTCTCTCATCAACGTTTAAAGTCTATTTCTTATGGTACTAAACTCTTGTTTTAAGTCATTTATGATTGGAAGTGTTCTACTTCGCGATTCCTATAATGTCTTACAAGCCTTTATCAATCAAAATATTTTTGCGTTGGAAGCTAAATTTCCTCCACAAGCTCGCACTACTAATAATAGTGTTATTATAAAAGAAAAGAGGCTGACTTGCTATACAGTGCCATTTTACTATTTCCGGATGTGGATTGCGTATCAGAAAGAATTTAACACATAATTCATGTTACTCCGGTGCTTTGCGTTTGCCCCGGGCTTTAAGCTATATACCCACCACCTATACTCCGTGGTAAATGCTACCACAAAGAGGGTACGAGATAAAGTCGACTTAGAATCCAACTAATTCCAAGAATAACTTTATCGCTATTTCTCTACAATTAGTTAAGAGTATAGCAAGTTGTGAACGGTTGAATAATGAGTGCAACATGGTAGAGAAATTTTAATAAAACTTTATTTATAAAGTAGTCTTTCAAAACAAGTATTTTAACATGAATTATAACAGTTCTGCAATAGTCATCCTTAGCAAATCATTGACTGAAAAATCAGTTAGTTAAATGACCACTGTTGCATTCTTCGGAAGTATAAGGAAATTGAGAAGTACCAAAATTGGTGTCTTGGAGGTGTCTGTCAGGTAGTACTTTAATTTAAATTCTTAAAAGTGCTTGAAGCTTGCCCTCGGTACGGGGCGCAAGGTCCACTTTATTACTTTGCAACATCCGCCATATTGCCTGGTAGTCATCCCAAAGTTTCATCATTACACCTCCTTGAGAGTGGAGCTGGCCTCAATCACATTCCCTATGCTATATTTAACTCTAATTTTAAAAAAAGGAACGTACTTTAGTTTGCTATTTTAAAAAATACTGAACAATCCATGGCTACAGCATCGTATTGCGTTCTCTAATGTCTTATTAGATTAACTGTTTATCTTACAGTCACACTTCGAGGGTTTATAATAGAGTTGACGCCATCAAGCGCTTACAATAAAATACTAATCTTAATTAGTTGTAATGAGCACGCAATTAATTATTTTCTCTTCCTCTCTTGCAGATATATAATTAAACGTCTTCTCGGACAGAACGAATTTTGTTATAATCTTTGTAATAAAGCGCTATCTTTACGTGTTCTAAGTTATATTTTCTCAATTATTGTTCTGCGATCTTCTTAATTTTATATCTACGATTTTGGTATCTTTAATGTCCTCGTTTATTTCCTTTTTGCTATGATCGTTCTACGTTCTTTGATATCTCGCTTAACGGTAGTTCCTTCTATCTAATAATATTAGTAACTCTATTATTTGTTACTCGATCCCACATTTTTGCGCTTTCTGTCTCCATAAAACTTTACGGCTTGGATATAACAGAAAATTCTATCATAAGCTACTTTTGCAAAAAGAGCAAAATATACCATATTCAGTATCGTTAAAATAGTTGCAATAAAATGTATTAAAAAAACATTAACAAAAAACTGCCATATATAAAATTTATACATATAAGTCAGCAATGAATCATACAAAAAGATCACCCTGAGATTAATTTATTAACCACAACGCGAACATAGTTTTTTTTATAAACATAATTTCAGAAACATTGGTAAAGTTATTTAAAATTGTTATTTAGCGTAGTTCTTCCATTTTTCCTATAGCCCTCTTAACTAGCAACTAAAAAAGGTTTTGCACTGAACCCGAGAGTTCAGTTTTAACGCAAATTACCATTTAAGGTAATTTAATGTTTATTATTGATTATTTCATTGCTTAGCTGTTAGTATATAATGAAGGTTCACGGAAAGTAAACTAGCAGTCGTGTTAATTTTTTTAAAGCTTTTTTGGTTTTATTCACAGCTTTCCATCCCTATATATATATACATTTGTTTAAAATTAATTTTAAAGGGCTTAAAGGTTTAGATATCCAAACATCTTGCAAATTAAACCTAGTTAACAAGTGGTAAACATAGCAGCCAGTAACCTATAAGTGGTTAACATTACTTTTATGGAGTTGACTTCCTTAATCATGGGTTAAATTTTTTTATAACATGATACTGATGGGTCTTCATCGGCGTTTTAAACTTTAGACGTACCTGGCGAACAGCAGGAAAGTTATAACTATTTAAATAAAGTATGATAATTACCGATTTTAACATGCTTTTATATAGACCCAAGATAAAAAACATTTAATTCAAAGGTTTATCTTTAAAAAAACTTTAGTATTACTAAATAACAACCATTTACTAAATGGCTTTTTAGACTACTAAATTTACTTACTCACTTTGACTTATACGTTATATGGACGTTTAAATTTTAGACTATTCTAGTCTCTAGACTAAAACTATGCTTGATTTATATTTTGGCTCCTCTAGACCAACCTCAGCTATGGTAGCAAAGTTGCAAAGCCCCTAAGAAAAAACGCGGAAGAAAAAAGGACAAGCCACATGGTTTAAAAAATTTTTTTACCTTCACATTGGTGCTAGCTGCCTAATTAAGCAATTGGCTAACCCTCGCACTATTAAGTCGCATATCTGTGGTGTAAAGAGATTATATTCTTAACATATAACAGTTCTTCCTATATTAAATTGGCAAAGAAATTTTTAAGTATTCGCTATAACTTAAAAGAGAAGTTTAATTGTGAAAGCTGGGGATAAGAGCAAAGCAGACAAATCAAATTTTCTGAACCTATCATAGAGTTATATAATTATATTTTTTTAGTTATTTCCGGTAAGCAATTTATCCAGCTTTTCGCCAATTACATTTTTTCTTATACACTTTTTGGTCGGATCAATAATCTATTAGTTAACCAACAGAACTTGAGAAGTCAGTTGATAGGATTTGACTTTCTAACGAAGTAATTAAATAATTACTTAATAAGGTTTAATTAAGTTCCTCAAAAGAAGCCCTTCTGTTGGCTATATACCGCGTCATTTCCATATTATGGAAAAATTTGAGCAATGCTAAAACATGCTCCCGCAAAGAAGTATAAATTGTTAATATAATAACTCCCATTTAACAATGACTGCAATTATATAACCATTCAAAGTGATGATCATTATTGTGTTCTGAGTTAGGCGTAGACTAATATATATTTTTCTTGTAAAACTGGAGAAAAGCTTTTCATCCCGTTCGATCTGAGAAGTCATACCCACAGATGCCTGGTTAGTACTACGATGGACGGCCACGGAGTTTACCAAGTACTGCGCCCCCTCCTTAGAAAATACGGATATGCAAAATGCGGATGCGTCTGACTGAGAGCTCGAGTATTCGAAGTTGTTAACTCGTTCGAGCACTAGGAAACGTTATTAATAATTAAATAAATTAATAAATTTTCTTTTATATCGTTTTGTTTCATCTTTCTCCCATGTCTTTATTATTTTTATTTTGAGGGTCGTTTTGTTAATGTATATTGAAAATATTTAAAAGTTCCATTTGCTTATTTTTGATAAATTTTTGCTTTTTTTGAGTTCCTTTTTCCCTTTTATAAAGTTATTAATTTTGACTTATTTTTATTTAATTTTTTGCTTCTTTTTTTTTTTTTTAAATTTATATTTATAATGGCAGTTTTAGTTTTATAGAGTTTGATGGAGATAACTAGACTTGGAAGACCTTACTTTAACTGAGCCGGCAATTATCTCTAGTCAGAAGTCAGAAGTTGAAGTGCATAATGTTATGCCCTTTTCCTGGACGCCAAAATCCATGTGTCACATAATTACTACGTCTTCCCTTGCTGAGGCATGGGAGACGTTACTTAGTGTCTTTGAACGATAGTCAACTCAAAACATTTTTTTTGCTAAAAAAGAGCTAATGTAATTTACTTTTTAAACTTTTGCAGTGTTCAAGAGTATGTAAATCAAATAACATTATTTATTAAAGCCAGTACAGTAATCTGTCCGGGGAAAAGATCTCTGAGATGGCCATGCTGATCGCTATTATTGAAGTAACGTTATTAAAGTAGTATAGCTACAAAGCAACACTTTATTTTTCAAACTGCCAATTTCTCCATATTAGACAAGGAACTTTAAACTTTAAAATGTTGATTGAAACACAGTGATGAAAGCTCGAAGCTTAAATTAGAAGGGAACAGAATTTTGTCATCCAAGAAACATTTTTCTGAGTGTAAATTTGTTTACACAGGGAACATGGCTACAAGAAAAAAACTCGTTGTCCTCGTTTTAAGAACTTTATTAATAACTGTACTTGTAAATATATATATAAATTTACTAAGCTTATTCTTATTTATCAGCTTACTAATAGCTCTATTTATTGTAAAGAATTAGTTCTATTTTTATTAAAAAAAGCTTTTCCGTGAATATTAAAAAACGAATTTGGTGGACAATGACTCTATTATTCATTTAAGTTTTTTACCTTTGTGACGCCGACTTTAGCACCATTGTTAAAGCCAACGAAAACATCATATATGCAACTAATAAAGATGTTTTTAATATACTCGAACTAAGGTTACAAGCCTGTTTTTTAAAGACATTAGAGCTAATCTTTTGTCAGTTAGTAAGCTTATGGGTATACTATCCAGTTTGACAGCAATAAAAACTGGTTAAATTAGTGGGAATTATATAAACTTCCCTCTTTATTTTTTTGTTACATATGTGGAAAATTACAGATTTTGCTGGTAATGCATTGTGTTTATAAAATGAGGGATTGAGGACTGCTCTGCTTGTATAAATTCAGTCCGTGCATACGCTGCCACTATTTTTTTATCCTCTTGTCCTTACTTTCTTTGAGGTTGGTTCGGTGCTCTTAGAGAGTCCACTATTATCAAGCAAATTTATAGAGTGCTTTAGTCCTTCGATTACATATTATATTACATTAAAATATAGTATATCTTTATTATTATATTTGACAACGTATTGTTGACAATATATATTCTCGAGGAATCAAGACCTGTCAAATCAACAATTCTGAAAAAACCCCCAAAAATTTGGTATTGTAGACAAGGTCATGATTCTAAAAGTCTTTCTTATTATGGCCTATAATAATTCGACTCATAACCTTAATGTAATTTAAAGTTAATCTAGTGATTCTATCTGTAGAATTTGCCAATTAAGCAAGTGTAAGAGAACAAAATTTGCTAAGAAGGTCAAATGTAAGGCTACCACTGTGTTTGAAACTCTACAACTTGATATCTTTGTGTTCATCAAACCAGCAGCGTTGGGGGTTATATGTATGCTATATGCTTTATATGTATATACAATGGTTGTATAACCTGGTACTTGATGAAGTATAGGAGTGGACTTTCAAGTATAATTTTTTTAAAATTTATAGACGTTATCTTGAAACCAAGAAGATGTGACTCTAAAACCTTCACACTGACAACGCTAATTAATTTTCGTCTAAATTTTTTATTAAAAAATGGCGAGCGAAAGAGTCACAGTAATTCACACGCTCCCATACACTCCGCAAAGAAACGGTGTTACTATAAGGAAATCGGACTCCATTTAATATGGTAAGAGCCTATGCTGTTCGTCTCTGGTCCACCCCAGCTATTGTGGGGTGAAGTTCTTCCACGCTCTGCCTTTATTCTTATAATCTTAAGTCATCCTTAACGCCTCAATCAATTGTACTCTCTTTTATTATAAAAACTTTATTAAGTCTAAACTGGATGAGTAAGCTAACATAGGCTACTTCGTTGGTTTCGGCCGATCTGGATACTGTTATAAAATTTTTAATCCAACTTTACTCAAAGCAGCTACAGCAGAAATGTACTTTTTGAGGAAAGTATCGTTTTTAAAGATAATCCGTTCAAGGGTTCGTTCTTTCTAAAACGCGTCCTAGGCCCGAAGATCTTTGACTGCTCCGAATCCCTAGTCTTTTAGTGTAATCCCGGTTCTATCATCCCAACACTCCTTTTCAGCGTCTATTAGTAAACGTGACTAGTTAGAAATTTTTGTCAATTTCTTTTACAAATACCTACACACTATCCCACTCGCCCAAGAAGAGACTCAAGTTGTGTTTATTTTCTTAATGCGTTGGGTACCTACCCCTTTCTTGCTACGCGGTTCTGTTCTGATTTATTTGTTCGCGTATGACCTGATTTATTCTGTTTGAGTCGATCTATTTGCTATGATTGCATCTTTCTAGTCTGTTCGTCTTTTTTGTTCTTCTATACTTTTTTTCTGCTCCTTTTTACTGGTCTCATAATTAATAAAGTTGAATCCGATTATTTATTTATTGTATATTACTCTTATAGACAAATACAGCATCTTCATAGAAAAGAAGAGATGACAGCCCTGCCACATTGTCCAGTATTTTCATTAAAGGTTAAAGTGACATATAATATAAAGAATTTCAAAGTGCATATACAGAGCGTTATACTAAAATGCTTCCTATAAAGTACCATGAACAATAACTAAATACAATCCAATATTAAAGCAACGTCTTCTTGCATAGCTTCAACACTCAAATTCCTATCGAGAGAACAATACTTTATAATCATTATTATTTAGGTTTCAGGCAGCACTTTTCGACGGTAGTGACTATAATAAACGAGTAAATAATTATTCAATACATATTATTTTATTAAACAAACCTAGTTCTGCTACTTAAACAGAGAATTGACACACTAAGCAGGTGGATTTTATATACAAAGTATAGCTAGGATAACTATCACTAGTAACTGCATAGCTCAATAAATATTAAAATCTAAACCGAGCAAATTATCCAAATTTTCCTTACTTGGGTCGAGTTATAGATGTAAAATAACCATTTTTACGCTAACAAAGAAAATGAACTAAAAGTTAAACTTGAACTGGTAAAATAAGGAAACATTATTTTTGTCTCCATCCTGTTAGCTATTAATACAAAGGAAGAATTGGTTTTATTATATCAAAATCATAGCAATTCAGCCGATTTTGAAGTAAAAACTTCACTTTTCCACTAGCAAGATCCCTTGCTTTTAAACCGTCATTAGTGCGTATATCTAGTGTAGCACCTCCTTCAAGTAAAATCCTCATGGCTTCTTTATAATTATTTAGCGCTAACAGAATATTATTAGAGACTTGAAAAAATATCCCAAATAGCATTATAAGGCATTGATATTATAAATAAAACCGTACAAAAGTTAAATAAAAATAAACTAAAGAGAACCTTTCCGAGATGACTATAATTAATTTAATATTGGTTTATAATAAATAATATTTACTAACAACACTAAACATAACGGTATACTTAATTTTTTTGTGCAAATAGTTCTACCTGCAATATGCAATGGTGTCATTCCGCTGTTAGATTGCGCAGAGAGATCAGCTTTCGCTTTAATTAATAATTTTATGTTATCAATATTGTTTGCCTAAGTTTGGGTCGCCGTTAACTTTGAACATATTAGAATTTAACTTGATGGGATAGTGTTCTAATAAAAAAACGTAAAGTAAAAAGCATACTTTAGTGGCCCAATGCAGAGCACTGTATCCCCAAATTGAATCTTTCTTATTCACAAATTCTTTTATATAAAATTCGATTAATTATAGTAATAACTGTTAAAATAAATTTTTACCCGGTTCATACTTTAAAACCTTTTTTAAGGTAGAATTATCATTCTTTATCATTAAAATTTCATCCTTTAAAATTATAAAAAATATATATCGATTATTAGAATTACCCCATTATACTAATATCATAGAGTTTCTTGAATTTCGAACTTTTAAAAGCTAAGAATTTATAGTGGGAAGAGGTAAAAGAGCGTTTTTATATTCTTAATTACAACTATACGCAGCATCGTTACTATATTTGTTCACCTGTGTTATATTATAAAACTCCACTTATACAACTTAATTTTACCAAGAGATTGCAACGTCCACACAAACTGACAGTACACTTAGTAACAGCTTTTTTTGTATATTATACTACTTTTAATAAGTGGTAGTATATGCTAAAACGCTTTTAGTCGTGGAATCTTCTTTCTTTATTAGCTCAGCCCTTATGACTTAATTTAATGTAGCTATAATAGACATTATGCCCTTTTATTTAATCTACTATGAATAATTTACCATTGGGAGCGAATTTTTATTAAAGTTGTCAAGGTCTGTTAAAGCAATAACTTTATTAAAATTACATTAGTAATAATATTAAAATGTACCTTCTAAAGTTTCATTGCTTAACTGAGATGAATGAGGAACTGAGAATACAGAGAAAAGAAGTTACTATAATAACTTCTAACTATTAAGTTTCATGTAATAGATATTTTATAATTATAATTTTATTATTGTAGTAAGGAAACCTGAATATAGCTGCTGATAATAGTTATCTAAATAAAGATAGGTGTGGTGGAGATATTTATTAAATATTTCCGTATTTAACTTTCCATTTTCTGTTGCAAATTTTATTTATAAACTTTTAATAAGAAGTTGCTCAATGACCTTTTATAAGACTCTTCTCTGAAATTTCCCACAATTCAGTTGTTGGGGATGATGTTCTAATAACTGTTTTGTAACCTTCTCCAATTAAAGCACATGTGTTTTTTTCATTTTCATTTCCAGGTAAGTTCATGATCATTAGTACTACATAAAAATTTAAAACGCAAATTTTATTAATGTTCCTAGTATATCTTTATTTGTAAATTATTGTACAACCCTTTTTCTATTAAATTTAAAGAGCAATTTTCTCGCGGTTCCTTTATAAAGTTATATTTAACGACCAAATATAGAAGTACATAAAAAAGTTATTTTTGATCTAAATCAGGCACCTCTTCGAGTCGTTCTTCCAATTAACCTATAGTGCCTCGAGAACGAGCGCTATATATAAAGATCGTTGTCTTGGAGAAGGAAGTAGCTACAAGTACTTAATGCGTGCCCCATTTCCTCTCATTACCTATCCCACGTAATTCCTACTGGGGTTAAATTTTCTAATAAAAGGTCATAATGCTCGTAAATCATAGTTCGTACGGCCTTCGTTAGAGTTTTTAGCTTTGGCCACATTAGTCAATCATAAAGGAAGCTGGGTGGTTATAGAGAGAAGCGGAACAAAGGTCATCTTCATTTTTTATAAGGCTGAGAGAACTTAGTTGGCTACTAAGTATTTTGAATGTTATCTCCTAACGTAACCTCCAGACGCGGTCAAAGTTTGTTAATGAGTTAATATTAACAAACCACTGTTGAACACGAGTCTATAAGTACGTGGCACTTTTATCTACTAGAAACTTTCTAAATTGAAAATAAGAAACTTACTTATCTTATAATTATTTTTTAACTTTCATCCGTAGATTACTAAACTATAAAAGAAATCAAATTTGTGTTTCTTATTGGGGCCTAAGATAAGTTTTCTTCAACCTGTGGAGTGAAATATATACTAGTTCCTGATCTGATAAGTTGTAAAAATGCTATTTTATATCTAGCTTATACTATAGTTTTCTATGTAATATTATTGCATTCTTGTGTAATCAGTTAGTTAAAATTTCTAGTCACAGAAACCTTAAATAAATAAAGGTTAATTGAACTGGTAGGAAACTTTAAAATTACTTTTTTTCAACAAAAATTTATTTTTACTGAACTTTTTAGCTCTAATCTGAAGAATTTAATAATAATTACAGTGAGGATGGTGCGTAACCTAAGCAGAGACAAATTATTAAGCAGTCTAACTTTTGCACCACTTAAAGAGAGAAACCTTTTAACTAATGTTTGCTCTCAATTGATAACTCCACCTCCGAAGCTAAAATATTAACTTTCTAACTGCATCCTTTAATATTTTGTCCTTCACTGTAACGGTTTATTTAACTTTCTTTATACTTTTAATTTGTGGTTAATAATTGTTAACAACTTTCATTTTTAACACATTTTACCTATGCTCTAATACTTAGCCATAATCATTGCAGCCCTCTCCGCTTTATAATATTTTTGCTCGATGGAATTATGATTTGGTGCCTTTTATGAGTCATTCATAACCTTCTAAAAATGTTTATCTAATTGAACTCTTAGTATATGTCATCAAAACAAATTAATTATAGTAATATTACTTTGTCTAGAACAATCTTTTTTTTAACTAATTATGGAAAATTTTCTGAGGATATACATGTAAAGCTTAGCATATTAACCACCATATATTTATTGTTTTAAAACGACGTCTTGGATAGCGAGCGTGGTCAGAATCCGGAGCCCTCGCCATGCTTAATTGTAATTTAAAGGCGTCTGGTAGAAAGGTGAAGAGACCTCCCCCTTTTCACAGGACCATGGTTCATTGTCTTAACCGGTTAAAAGAGGGTACTATAATCTATTTCTTTATCCTAAGGAAGCATGTACAATTGTACGTGTAAACGATAGACTTAAAAGGATCTCTAAAAGTATACAACTCGACTTAAGTTAGACTCAGGCCCCTATTCAGATCGGTTCATAATTTGTGATAATATTAACGCTGTTATTACGGTAATAGATTCTATTTTGCTATATGATGTGATTTCAGAAAACCAACTTTGATTTTTCAAGAAAAACCTTAAAGAGTATATAAGTTTCATTAGCTACAAATAGTAAATAACAAATACAAATAAATATATTTCTCCAATCATAATAATAATAGAGTATTAACAAAAATAAAGAAAAAGCCGTTTACAAAAAATTTATATAATTATATTTATAATATTTAAAGCAATTACATATTTAAAAATAATATAGAAAAATATGTAAACTTGTGTATCTCATTAAAGATTTCCTATAGAAATTAAAGTTTTTGCTGCTTCAAGGCCGCATGAATTTGTTCTGGTTTCATTCAAAAAAACTAACTTATAATTATGGTGCGTACCGATGCATAATTAAAATAAAAATTTAATTTTCATAACTTATGAAGAAGTGTTAAATGTTTTTTGTTTCTTTTATTCAAAATTTTAAGAGAGCTATTTATATAAGCAACTTTTTTACAGCTTATATGTTAAGAGACCGTTACACACACTTACATAAATAAGATAATACAATCAATTAAGGTATCAAAAGACGAAGTACTAAATTTGTTGTAAGAGTTTAAGCTATGTATACACAAAGAGTATGCTTGATTAGAATTCTCAAATTGTTTTCTTTCTAAAAAATCTTTATAAGTTAAACCCTCCGTTCTCTATCATTGATGCAGAGTACTATAAGTAGGTTAACAAAGTTTAATAAGACACCATGATTGATTGTTAGTTATCCCAATAATTAATGCTTTGAGAGTCCGGCGTACTAAGCGGGCTTAAAATACCCCTTGCAAGCGGTGTCCAAATATTACCATGGTTTGCTGTCGATGACAATCCATAAGTATATCATCTCAGAGTTTCAAAAAATTTCACTTCCTCCATTAAATAAAATGCAAAGAAGGAAGTGTGCTTTCGCGCTCCTTTACAAACGCCGCTAGCCCTGCGTAACAGCTTCAACAGTTTTTGATATTAAAAGTAGGATGACCAGGTTGTACCGCCCGTGATATTAAATAATGATTAGGGTTAAATTAAAAGAGAATTAGAAGAACAGAACTAGAAACTAAACGGAACATTTAACGACAGACGACTCTAGAGGAACTGCCACTTTTTTTAGTCGTTTAGTTTGTAATTTATTTAATCAAGACAACTAATTAGGTATTACATAGGTACGACTTAGTAACTAAAGTATACGAAGTCGGTCCGTGACAAGTTAATTACTAACTTTCTAGCTACGCTTAATCTTAGAGTTAAATATAGCACAAGGAGAAATAATTCAATGAGTTGCATTACACAGACCCAATAGAACTTGGGGTGAATGGTGGAGCTCTCTACATACTAGTAACTAAATGCATAGTTTCGCTCAGAAATAATAATCATATTGCATGTTTATATAGCTAATTAGATCCTTTGCTTGGCGATCTGACTCTTCAATAAAAAACTATTTTAAGACGAAAAGAAAACGTTGACACAATCGTTAATTTAGCAGCTAGTAAATCTGTTCTATAAAAAAATGAATCTGCAAGTAAACAAAGTTTAGATTTAGAGAGTGAGTGCGTGGACAGATTAAAGCGTACCTAAAACCTATATCGCGCCACCTTCAAGAGGGAGGGGTTTTTCTGCATTAGAGCTTAACTCTACTTGGTGAGTTTGATAATAATTTGGATATTTTTGTTAGCTATATTGTTTGCAATACTCTTAACTCGCAAGGTATATCTTGAAATAGAGATAAGAGTAAGGGCATGCCTGCGTAACCTCCAGCTGTTACTTGCACATTTCAAACGGTTGAAGTATAAATTTTTTAAGGTTTTCTAGTAAGCGCTTTGGCCACGGTATGAAACGCATTGTGTCGGGTTGTTCGCTAGTGGTTAGCACGCCATTACTACTCTTTTTTTCCCAAAATTTGGTTGTATATATACATAATTTCTATTTTCTACTCTTGAATATTCTTTAGAAAAAAAGGAAATTTATTGATGTTCAGGCTCTCACTTGCAAATTGCATTATCATACTGCTTTTAATAGTAATGGCACCAAATTTTCCAACTTTGATAACCAAAACTATGAATGTAATAATAAAAGCTTATCTTTAAGTCACTCATCTACTATTGTGGATCAAATTCCGACTTTAAAAGATTATTTAAGAGGAAAAGGTTATTTTTGTAAGTGTTAAGTTAGGGATATATACAGTTTAAGGTTTATTACTCATAAAGTAGCTAACATATTTTTTTCCTTTAACTTTATACTTACTACTTTATTTCCTTTATCTTTTTTTTTAATATTTTAGTTAACATAAATCCCATTAATGTAAAACACATTCCTCAAGAAGGATCTAATAAAACACCTTACTTAGAACACTACTTCTATGGACATGGGAAAAATGGTAATATACAAGTGGGCACTATAAGCTATATTTTCTATTAAAGTAATTTATTAAGTATATTTTGAAACATATGGCTGCCAAATGAATGTCAGTGATACCGAAATTGTTTGGAGCATTTTACTCACAGCAGGATATTCGCGTTGTTTGTCAGCCGAAACAGTTGCAGCATTAATTTTTTTCCGCTTTATATATTAATATCTATTTTAATAGGCTGATGTCGTACTAATATTGACTTGTGCCATACGGGAAGGGGCTGAGCAGCGCATTTGGGGCAGAATAAGTTTACTCCGTGCTTTAAAAAAAAAACGTCTGGAGCATAAAAGTCGTTTAGTGGTTGGCATCTTAGGTTCGGTTTTTTTGAATTTTGTAGTAAATTTAAAAAAACTTTTTACTTTTTTTTATTAGGGTGTATGGCAGAGCGGCTAAAGAACAAGTTGTTGGAGACTCCAGGGAGTGTCGATCTTGTTGCAGGGCCGGGTGCGTTTGTTCGGTTTAAGAGTGTCTTCTTTTGAACTTAAATTTTTACAGATGCTTATCGCGACCTCCCCCTGCTTCTCTCGGTCACCTCTTCTGGCCATACAGCTAGTATATTTATTGCACGCTTATACCTGTATACTCGTGGCAAAGATTATATAAATAATGCTATAGTCAATGTTCAACTTTCCTTGGAAGAAACTTATGCGGACGTCCTTCCCGTCAGGCTTGATAGGAATAATGTAACTGCCTTCGTGTGCGTTTTCTGGGTTAAAAGCGTTGATGATAGCATTATTTCTACTATTAACCTTTGCAGGTCAATAATGCGGGGATGCGATAATATGTGCTCTTATTGCATCGTCCCTTTTACGAGGGGGAGGGAGAGAAGTCGTCCAATGACTTCCATAGTGGAGGAAGTCCGACTTTTATCCCAGCAGGTTGGTCCAGCCTTCTGGTAAGTTTTTCTTGTTGGCTTTAATTTTTCTTTAGGGCGTCAAGGAGATAACGCTACTCGGACAAAATGTGAATAGCTATTGGGACCGAAGCGAGCAGTCTTATTGTATAAGTGAGATCCCGGAGTCAAATAGCACGGGCTTCAAATCTATATATAAGCCTAAACTAGGAGGTGCGAGGTTCACTGACTTGCTGGTTATATTTCGCTAACCTCTGTGTTGGTGTCTCTCATCATTCCCCTCGCAGGACAGGATTTCCTTAGTTGATCCCGAAATGCGAATACGATTTACTAGTCCCCACCCAAAAGATTTCCCAGATAGAGTTACACTGCTCTTATTTTTCGTATTTCTTGCCACTTTATATAATATTTTTTTAGCTTCTTTACTTAATTCGCGATCGTCCTAATATTTGTAAAAATATACACCTTCCTGCACAGTCTGGAAGCACTTCCGTTTTGGAGCGTATGAGGAGAGGGTTGGTCTTGTATAATAAAAAGAAGAACCTTTTTCTAGATTGTTGTTGCCTTAGCTACACACGTGAGGCTTATATGGCGCTTGTCCATCGGGTTAGGAGTGTTATTCCAGGTACGGCCGTATTTGACTGGGTTAACGTTTTCCCCTGTAAGCATTGTCATAGAAGTTGCACTGTCTTCGGACTTCATTGCTGGGTTCTGTGGAGAGAGCGAAGCTGATCACCAAGCTACTTTAAGCCTTCTGCGCGAGGTTCAATATGACTTAGCGTACATGTTCGCCTTCAGCTTGAGAGAGGTGTTATATTTCACCGCTGTTTCGTGTAAACGTTATACTCCTTGAATATTAATACAAGAAAACCCACGCCCATCGGCACTTTGAAGACGATGTGCCGCATGAAGTCAAGCAGCGTAGGTTAAGCGAGATAATAGAGCTCTATCGCTCTATTGCAGTCGCTAAAAACTGTCGACTTGTGGGCTCGAGACAGCTTGTCTTGGTTGAAAGTGTGAGTGCTTACACATTTACGAGTTTAATTTTGACGCCTCCGCTTTATTTACGCTCAGGATAGCAAACGTTCTCCTGATTACTTTCAAGGAAGAGCAGATTCATTTCTTCGTTACGTTTTTCCCAAGGCGAAAATCCCTTGCAAGGTGAGCGGTCTCCCGAACGTTGACATTCGCCCCGGAAACTATGTTGAGGTATTTTATAATATTAGTTGCTCCTCTTTTTCTTATTTCGCTGTTTATATAAGGTGGAAGTAGAAAGAACGACATTGGCTACTGCCTTGGCTCGACCTATATGTGTCTCCTCAATAGAAATATTTCATGATCAATAGTGTTACTACGCTGATTTTGACTTTCTCTTACCCCTGCTATCATATGGTGTTCTTTACTGGCCTACAATGAGGATTTCAATATTCAATTATCACAAGCTGTCATGTCTTAAAATAATAGTTTAATAAAACTTTAACTTTAACGTGATATTTTGATATTTTTTAATTTTTATGGAAGCTTTAAAAAAAGTTTGGATTACGCTTTTGTAAGGTAGCAGTATATTACTTAATTCTGTAGTTAAGAATGTATTGAATTAAAAACATGCGAAGGCGCTTGTTTAAATATTATAACAATTTAAAGTCTGAGTCGTAATATATATAATATATATCCAGCACAAATATGTTGGTACAGTATTCCATAGGCTACATTTCACGAAGAAAAAGAGGAGCGACCAATTCATAGTCCCTTGTAGGAAGGCTATATGTACTTTTATGAATAGTAAAAAATCTAGAAATGTAGACAGAAGTGCAAGACATGTATGAGCGCATGACCGTGGTACGACCATGATATTGTGGCACGTGCATATCACTAACGTGATAGAAGCACAGAATTTTTTATCAGAGTTGACTCCGAATAATTGCATTCGTAATGGTATAGCTAAAAGTAACCTAAATAGACGGGAAAAAAAGTTTTATGTTAAGTGCACACTACCATTACTCTATTTATTATTTAGAAAAAGAGCTAATTGTAAAATAGGAGCTCTTTGAAGTTACATAAAGAAGAAGAGAAAGGCTAGGAAAAATGCTACCAACCGCATTTATTTTTAACTGTGTTTTTCTGTAACCTTATACAAGTATGTAATAGTAGTATTACTTTTATTATAATTAAAAGTGTATGATTGCTAAAAACTTTTTATTGTATCAAATACATTAGAAACGACCGGCATTAAAACCACTACCTTGAGTATGTTAAATTATGAGAAACAGTTCTGATTTTAATATAACTTTGGTGAATCATGTACTCGTGTCACGTGTTGAAATACACGTAGTCTTTTAGAGCATGTTAGTATGTGTATTTTCACATGATCTTACATTTGTTCATTTCACGTGTTTATTTTTCTAAATGTATATTGTTATCCCTAAAGGTATAAACTTCTCTCCTCAACAGTGCAACATATTTCTTATCAGCGAGAGCTTATTGTTAGTTTATTTAGCTATTAATATGCATTTAAAATGACTTTAACAAAGAAATGAATATTTAAAGGAGGAAAGAACCGAACATGGTTTATTACTGTTAGTATAAGAGAACTATACTTCACCTTCACATACTAGGAAAAAACATGAAATACCGAAGAACTTTACTTGATAACTTTCTGCATAGAGTTAATAGGGTATTTTTAAGGGTTAACAGGTCGCAAGAACGGTTTATATCAGTGGCAGTCGAGAAAGGTAAGCTTTTTGAATTTTCTGTAGCGATTTTATTTAAAAGAACGCAAGCGGTTTCTCCTCTATTTCTAAGCGGACTCCACAGCCTTTGTGCTGCAAACGCTTTTTAGCGTTGTTAGCAGTAAATACTCTGCTACTAATAGACCTTTTCAGCTTGCAAAAGGGTATTTTAAGCAGCAGGCTTTTTAATTCTTTTCAAAAAGACAAGTATATCCAGTTCTCACCCCAGTTCTTTTGCTGGTGTATGGCAATTTCCATTCGTTGTTCGATATAGATAATAAAAGCTGTTAGTGAAAGAATGTTAAGAATGTTTAAAAAAAATGTCACGAATAAACAAGCATTTTATGCAAAAACAGTGTTATGCGTAAATAATAATTTAAACTGTAAATTGCGCCATTAGTTTGTTTATAGCATTTGAACAATTTTTTCACTATCAAGCCTAAGTTAAGAGGTTAGTCAGAGGACGGCCTCAACTTTAACGGCACCATAAACTAGTTCATTTCCATTATTTTAAGAAAAGGGAGATAGATAGGCCATCTTAACGTTGCTGCCTTAAGTTTTTGGAAGCGATAACAAAGCTTCTTCAGCATATGCTCGCCTAGACAACTTCATTATAATTTAATAACCTCCTTATGTAAATCTACATAGCATATAAAAACAACACCCCAAATTCGCAAAACCACCAAAGTTTAAAGCGGGGAGGTGGCAATTTATTTTGAGCGGGGTGATCAAAACCGTGGCTAAGCTGCTTTTACAAAAAGACCCTTATTTCGAGTGGTACTCGAAAATATCATAAAACTGTAAAAAATACCAGGAAGCTATTGAGTTATTTATAGTTTGAAAGAATGATGCTAGTAAGAAAAGGTAGAGTACTTGCTGTCAACAATTTCTAAAAGTTTTTTTTTTTAAAGGTTTCAGCACTGGTTCCTTTTCGCATAAACTTTCCTCTACAGGGGAAACCTTTCGGTTAGTGGAAGTCCGACTTTTTTTTTGCGCACAAAACCTTTTTGAGGCTAACAACTGGAGAACACTTAACTAAAAGAGAGGCACCAAAACTCTCCCTTTGCGACCTTCTTTGAACGGCCGCTTATAACGTACTATACATTGTCTTATCTTTTTTTTAAGGCGAAAAAAGGCATTGTTTAATCATTCAGTGCAACAACTTTTTTTCCTTCATCCCTACATACCCTACTCATATGCAGACAATGTTATAACATGTTTGCCTACAAAATCATAAACCAAGCCACGTAAATTAATGTACTGTGAAAGCGAAAACTATTTTTTTTAATTTGAGGATGAAAAATTAACTTTAGTGTTTTTAGTAGTTGCAAGTACGTAAATAACTTCTGAAAATGCGTAGAATTAGGGAGATTAAAATGGGGAGATTATTGTGCGCCCTTTTAAAAATAAATTTGCGTCCTCGTGAAACAGTACTAAGGAGACCCCAAGCCCGAAAAGAAATGGGCAGCAATATTTGTCGTTCCTATGCACTGCACTCGCTTTTCTCGGGCAGAGTTTCGTTTACTTCGCTATTTTAAAACTTCGGTGCTCTGCTTAGCCGGAGAGAAAACTCGATTAACGTGTTGTTAATTTATTTTTAAAATATCTGTCTCTTATTATAATTAACAGTCGTGGGGAGGGGAGAAGTGGAAATGAATATGGGCCGTTAACTGATTTACCAGATTGGTCTTATGTTGGTATGTACTATGCTATTACGTTGTTAGCTTTTTAATAAAATAGTAAGTTATTTATTATAGATGGTAGAGAAGAGCCTTCACTTTTAAAAAGTCAGAAACGTAGATTACGGGATCAAGCAAGATATCAAAACCGGATTGATGAACTTTTACAAAGCACAACTGAACCATTTATCAAATAACCTATATCTTGAGGGCTACCAAATATTTTACTCGTTCTTAGCTTGAGCTTCACCTTTTGACTCTTAGCAGAAGATTCCTTTATGTAAATAGATTTATTTAAGAATAATTTTTATTTTCACCCGAGAAAATTTTTTTTTTTAAAAACAAGCATGAAGTTTAATTACGTAAGTTATTTTTTATTTTAAAAGAGTGGAGTTTACTGAGGCGGTGAGTAAGGTCTACACCCTTATTGTTAAAGTTAATTTAAAATTTTTCTTAGATAATTGATTAGTAAGGTGAGTTATGGGAAGTTTATAATCATTTAGAGGATTGAAGGTTTGTTGGATAGATAAGTTATTTTTTATTAAATAAGTTGCAAGCTTTACTGGTGTAAAGTTTTAAGTTTAATAGAACTATAATTTATTGTCAATAGACTACTGGTAACTGAGCCACAACTTTTTGCTAACTTTTTACCTCGGAGTTTTTACTTATGTGTAAGAAGTACCGTTTTGCCAACAATCAGTGTACCAAGTCTAACGTATTTTTACAGGCAATAAAGTTCTTTAAGAAAAAGTTGTAGCCAAAAGATTGAACTGCTTACAGAAATATACTTTTGTTTAAAAGGTTAATTCATTGTTTCATGGCCACTGAGCTCTTGTGATAGTACATGATAATCCGGAGACAACGGTTCCCTAACTTGCGCTTTACGCTCAATTTAAGCACAAATTCTCTTTAACACTAGGACCAGAACCACGTATAGACTACGACCCTAAGAACAACAAGGCGCTGAAGAAAACTATGTTAAAGCGCGAACGGTTACTTTAGCCGCTTTCCCTCTGTTTATTTTATTAATATAAATGGCGTTTCTTGGTGCACAATCGAATTAACAACTTCGAATATGCGAGCTCTCAAAAGGTTTTTAGTCCACGAGTACAAGTAAATTATTACCATAAAATGTATTCTTCACGTTCAAATTAAACCTCAAACTTAGCTTTCAACCGTCATGCTAAGAGTGCGCCGACCCAGTGCGTTCTTCAGCTAAAAGGCGACTGGCGTGTCCAGCTATTCGTTTATAGAGGGTAACGGCACCATTTTTAAAGATTGTGGTCAGGGGCTCAAGCCGCAGTTCGTAGTGAAGTGTATCTTTGTATCTTTGCGCACAAACTACCGGCGCGTATGTAAAAGGCCGCAGCAGCTTTGCTTATAAGTCGTAGGCCTAGGTAAAAATTAGCCGATTGCACGGCACATAAGCCTTCGCATATTGCGCAGTGCTGCCTTAACTTTTACCGCCACGTAATTTACGTGTGGACGGCACGAGAGCTTAGAATCTGAGATGATTCTCAGGAATTTAACTTTAGAACACTACGGGATTTCAATAGCGTTAAAAGTAGACGGTATCAGCAGCGCAAGGCGTTTCTTCGTTATAAGAAGCCCCTTGCTCTTGCTGCGTGAATGGGGGGGTAGCCCATTGACGACACCAGCGAGCAAGCGCGTTGAGATAAAAAAAATGTAGGTGCTGCGGTAGTAAAACGACCGGCAGTGACGATGAATAAACCATAGTATTGGCGATGTGAATGGCTATCCGGCTGTGAGGGCGGACTGGCAGAGGAAAGTCTGGTATAGAACGCGAATAGCAGCGGAGCTAGAAGAGAACCTTGGCGTTACTCCCGCTATGAGATAGCGAGGCGACAGTGCAGCACCTCGTCGCACGTTAAAGGCCCGGTCGTTTAGGTACGACTTGAGACCTTTTAAAAAGTCGCGCAGTACCGCCAGAGCATCTAGCTTGCTTCACAGGCCACTATGCCATACTAAGTCAAAGCCTTCTCAACATCGAGGAGGACAGCGCCGGCAGATTTTTTATAATTGAAGGCTTCGGTCGTTTACTGGATTAGGCAGAGAATTTGACGGAGCGGGGAATGTCCCTTGCAAAACCAAACTGAAGCTCTTCTCAGAAAACACATGACCTTTTATTTACAAACGAAAAAGACGAAAATAAATAACTCTCCAAGCAAAATTGCAAAAATCTGTCTTAGAAATTTTAATAAGTATTGATGAGGATATAAAAACAAAGTGGGAATTAGTGAGCATGTTACACCGGGTAAAACGTTCAAAAGGGTTCAAAAAAGAGTTGTGCGTAACTCTTTAACCACAGTTAAGTCAAAATCCCAAGAAATCACATACGAATCCCAAACAACTCACTAAATTAAATCAACAGTATGCCCACGGACTTAATCATATTGCACGGCAAATACAAGAGCACTGTACAATTTCCGAACTAACGGCACACATCAAGATCAAGACCTTTACACGAAGGTAGCGCTTATATACAGTTGCGGTGATAAATTTTTATATAATAAATTTTTTTAAGAAACAATATTGTTCATACTTTAAAAAAATTAAACTACTGTGACGCTCTAATTTCGTTTTGCAAGTAGAAACAAGAAACATATTAAAAGAAAATTTGCAACTCTTTTACTTCGAACAAAAGCTTCAATGAAATGAGATTGGACCTAACACAATAACTTAGTACACAGGACGTTTAAGATACAATTTAAAACACAATATACAGAAAACACAAAAACACAAAAAACAAATATAAAAACAAAAATAAACATAGATTACAAAAAAATATTATATAATACATCAGGTATAAAAAACACAACCTCAAAACACACATATACGTAAAGTACAAACAGTAACATCGGACACTAACCCTCCAAATTTTCAAAGGGAATTGATGCGTGATTAATCCAATCAGAAACCCGAGAAAAAATTAATTGAATTACAAGAGATAATTTCCACAAAAAATTTAATTTGACCTAACATTGGATACAAACTAAACAAAGTAAATTTTATCTGGTACAATTAAATTTATCGTACATATATGGAAGTTTATTTCGACTTTTCGTAAAGGTTAAATGCAGACCGAAACTGGTCATTAAAGCATCCGTGACTTTAATATACTTCTTTTATACAGTTCTTTATTTAATATTTTAAAAGAACCTCTTAAACAAACACCGTCTTTATATATATGCAAAGAATGTAATAATCACCAAATAAAATGGGCCATAGAGGAAAATATGCTTTCAAAAAAAAAATAACAAGTAGCAAAATAATTTAAATCCTTTCAAACTTTTTTCTCATTAAACCACGCTTTATAACTACAACCCATTCATTGACTCTACAGCTTATCCACATTTACTAAAGATAAGGGGCTAATTATGACTATAATAAACTCTTATTCAAACTCCTGTAATACTGGTTATATAAACTTCTATTATAATAAATCAATCCACACTTTAAACGAAATCAGATCTCTACAGGGACACTACAGGGACACTTGTTGAGCAAATTCACCTCTAAATTTGTAGAATTATAAAGTTACAACCACTTTAAAGAAGGTATTATAGGTTATAACTACCAAAACGATAAATTCTTCGGTTTTACACTCTTTCAAAGAAACGGAAACCGTATTATACTCCTTGAACACCATGAATATAGGTACATTAGCTATATGTATTTGAAAATATCGCGCTTCAACCTTCTACAATTAACATAGAAAATTGTGCAAAATGTAAATGAATAGCCATAGGTACAAAGTTAATTGAACGTACTGTTTAAAAAAAGTTGTAAAGTCAATGGTCATATTTATGAATTTATTTTAAAAGAGAACTGAAGCAAAGAGAAAATCAGTAACTTCAGCACATAAAAATACACCATCACACATCCTTAGAGAACGTACCATAAAAACCTTTTATAGCACGCAGTCTGCGTGCCACTTAAATTCTAAAGTGATATATACAAAAACACCTAAGACACGGTTGAAAAGACAAGGTAAAAACATAAAACACAGGAAACACAAAGAAGCATAGAACATTAACAAAAAACAGAGCACACCAACTATGAAACGCAAACATAAAATACAACCCTCTAAACTTTTGCAGTAACCATGATTCGTCAGTAAACCTATCACACACCAGTGAATAGTGAATAGTTAATTAAAATACAAAGACATCTTAAATTTTTTACCGCATATAAAAAAAAACCACTTTATTAATTGGATAAAAACTAAACCAAAGTTTTGTCAAAACTGTTCTGGTTCAATGAAATTTATATACAAATATGGAATCCTTTTTAGACCTTTCGTAGAGGTATCCCTTGCTTTATAATTCCATGTGTATCTTGTGTTAATATTTTATTTTATACGCCCATCTTCTTTATTGCTTATACACATAATATATATAAACCTATATTTAAACTCTTATATTAAATATACTTTTATTTATACATTCTATATCCATTTTAAAGCGTTATAAGCACGAAACTCTACCACCATTAAACACGGACAAAACTAAAAACGAAAAGAGCACGAGAGGTATACAATTGAGGAAACCTATCCAATTTCAACACTGGGTAAAACAATTGAATTTAATACTGATAGAACGTAAAATAGACAACCCTTTTCCCATAACGATAAAATTAGCGAAATTGCGTGCAAAAAAAAAAGACGAGACAAACTAGAAGCTTATCTCTTATACGGCATTTCATTCGGCTTAAATATTCTATAATAGCACCGTTTTGAAAAATTTCGTAAAAATAACCATAAAGATTACAAGAGTGTCTAAATACGTAGAATTTGTATTTTGTTTTTATTAATTTAACTTTAATTTTAATTTTATTAATTTAATTTTTTTCTCTTATTCGAAAAAAAAGTTGTACAAATTGCCAAAGAATTGCGGAATATACATGAAAGTAATGAAAGCTGATTTTTAGACAGTAAACACCTAGAACTCGCCATTCAAACGAGAAGAGAAGTCTTTGAGGCACTACCACCAATAATCTTTGAAAGGAAGTTAAAAAAATCTGTTTGGCCAAACAACAAAATGGAAACGTACAACAGGATACCAACCGACTAGAATATATAGGGAATTATGTCGTATAACTTAGCAATAATAATCAAGTAACAAGCGCACGAGAAAGCTGGTTAAATTATTAAAAGCGCTTACTATGACCTTTCGAAGTGGAGAACTTTACCGCATACAAAGTGCTATAATAGGACAACAGTGTTAAACTACAAACCAACTCTAATACGAATATGCAGAATGAGTTATGTTAAAAGCGCAGAACCGACAACACATAACCATTTTTAACTCCTCTCCGCAATCTTTAACCTCCCCCCACATCAAATAAAATTGTAACAGAAACAAAAAATATTTGAATCAGACGCACCGAACCACATCTTGCCCATCAACGTCGCAACATTAATTTAATATGCAATTATTGTTAGGTAAAGAAACATATTGAGAGAGCGTGCGTTCGAAAAACGCAGACACTTCAATAAACAATTCAACCACAATATGGAGAATCATCTGCCAATTGAAGGAAAAACATAATAAGCCGGCCGGAGTTATACTTGGTATTGCGGGCTTACCCATACTACTTTAGTGAGGAAAGCCTTGTAAACAAAACAATAAATGGTTATTCAAACTCTTGTAACAATGGCTCTTTATTTTTATTGGATTAGGGAAAGACCATATAAAACTTGAAAATCAATCACAGCTTAGTACTGAAAAATTATAGAAAACAGTTATACTATATAAGTAATTATGATCCCTAACAAGTGTACATCTGAAACAGTAGTATTGACACCTCCAGACAGCGCCCTCAAAATTACTACCTGCGATAAGTTTTTAAAACAATAATACTAGTACACCAAAAAATGCATCTTAAAAAAAAGATAAAGGCAGACGAATCATGAAGTGCACAAATTACCTGAATGAAAATCAAAAACCTCCAACTGGGAATAATATAACACTACAAAGAACATTAAACCTCAGACCTAAAAACGCTCCCTAGCATTCTAATTAAAAATAAAAAGAGAACTTACTACTCAAGTTTAATATATAAGCCAAACGTTAAACAAGTAAGACCGATTTTTTGAAAACACTTCATGCCTTCTACTAAATCTGTAAGGATGCAATCTCACGAAAGGCCAATAATTAACAATCAATAGAAGACAGTTTAGATCAGTAGACAGAGAGGACGTATCCATAGAAAAAATTAAGGGCATTCACTACATGAGCTGCTACGGCTGAACTTGCGTCACTATTTACGTATAATAGTTTAATAGATAATGTTCCTGTCAAAAGAAATTGAATCTACATGGGTACTTCAAAATTAATAGAAAGCTGTAATTACCATAAAACAAGGTTAATCGAGAGAGGCTGTTAACAAATTGCTTGAATTGGTTATAAAAAAATATATCCCCCTGATTTTTATAAAGAATCTTTTCGCCTTTTACATAACACAGTTCATTTAAAAAATTACCAAATCACACTGAAGAGAGTGCAACCGCATTTTTGCACACCAAACTTATGTATACATACCACAAGAGATTTACCTTTAAGTTCCTATTACTTCAAAGAAAAGAAGTGTTCTAGAAATCAAAGGAGCAATTTTAAATAAAGGTGTCTGCCATACTTCTCTATAAAGACTTTTTAAAAGGACATCAGATTATTGAGTCAGGCAGAGAATTTTATTCTATAATAACTAAGGTGGCATGGATGGAGATTAGTATTAGGAAATGCACAAACTATGATTTATGAGGGAAGGAGATGAGCGTCTATCATTTATAACTACAAAACTTCAACCTGCTGTAAAAAAAGGATTACCTTTACACCAGTCTTATGAGTTCACAAGGTACAAGACCTGACAGCCCTAAGGAACTACTTCCTACCACTTACTATAGTACTTCGGTGTTAGAAAAAGCATACAAGTGATATTCAGTAAACTTCTTCGTTAAATTAGCTATTACTAAGTAAAAAATCATCTACTTAGGCTCGATAGGCTGATAGTTTCAGGTACAGTTCAATTAAAAAAGATGGATCTGAACAAAACTTTAAGCGTAAAAACTTATAGAAAAATTATTTATACAGTGGTAGAGTGGCGAGGTGATAGATATATTAGGTTGTAAATCCCCTCACTAATAGAGAACCACCGACAACCCACTTCAGTACATAGATTAATTATAGATACGCAAACTCGCAGAGGTTGAGATGTAGCTACTGTAAAAAAAATTGCTGTTTCTTCATTAAATATTTGAATACCAAAATGAAAGTACTTATAAAGAGAGTAATGCAACGATAAATACCAAGAAAAAAAAGAAGAACACGTACACCGAGTGTGGACTCTTTAATTCAGTCGATTGAAGTAACCTTGGCTCTGGAGCAAACTGTCCCGTTTTCATCAATCATAGATAGACTAAATCCTATTTTTATTTCAACCGTCTAAAAGAACACTAACTGCTTAGAGCGCCGGTCACTACATGAAAAATATGCAGTGAAAAAGATATTAAAAATTTAAAAAAAGTAAGAAGAGAAAGGAAAATAATAAAATATACAACAAGTGACTAGCACAACTATTCTAATAAAGTTACTATAGTTAAAGGGTATAAGCAGTATTACCATAATAGGACTTCCAAATAATAAGTAATAAATACAGAACATTTAGAAAAAAGGTTTATTCGAGTTCCTAGTTAAAAAAAAGAAATAGCAAACTCACATCCAAGGTAGAAGAAGACGTTTAGAAGAAGGTCCTCGTATAATAATAAGCAAAATCTAAGGTAAAATATAAATTTTAAAATATAGTAAAAGTAAATTAAGAATTTGAATTAAAAGAAGGGCAAATTCAATAACTAGTTTATTTCAAGATATATAATTTATTAAAACAAAAGGATTAAATATATAATTTAACAAAATGTAGCAATACAAAAAAAATAAGACTAATGATAAACTACACAACCAGCGAAAATGACACAAAGGTAACTCAAACTTTATGGACACTATTGTACACCGCCGGACAAGACGATTACCCCTTTTTTATAGATTTTTCGTGGTGTAATACTGCAGGCTGCTAGCTTCCGAGAATTGTATACTAAAAACAGTAAAGCGGTCGCATCAACCCAACTGTTCGACAAACGAAGAATAACTGCAGCAGGTGCGCGAGACAAATTTAAATACGTAAAAACTGCCCTTGAACTTTACCTTCATATCATTAACAGTAATAGTAACCAGTTACCAAAATTAAGCATGTGTGCGCAGCAAAAAAGGTTGCACTTATATTACGGGGTTCACGTTTGAGCAGTGAGAGCCACAAACAACTATTAGGAGCTCTCTGTTAGCCATGGTTCATATCTTTGTCCTCTCTAATAATTTTTTTTTATTTTTTTATTTATATTTGTTTTCATGTCCAGGGAATTGAAATAAAGCGGAAGCATGTTAAAAATAGAAATCGTTCTGAACCCAAGTCAAAGAACGTTTATTTATTGTTATTGGTTAAATTGTACCGTTTCCTATCCAGGCGTACTGACTCCAAATTTAATGACACAATCCTTAAAAGACTGTAATTTCCAAATTATTTTACATACAAGAGTATATATAAGTTTTTTGTTAATTGGTAAATTCATATGTTTTCCAGGTACATGAGTCGTATAAACCGAGCTCCTCTTTCCCTCTCAAAGCTTGCTACTTTTATGAAAGGAAAAGAGGATAAAATAGCTGTTTGTGTCGGAACCATTACCGACGACGTCCGTTTGTTTTCTTTTCCGAAGCTCTCTATTTGTGCTCTGAGATTTACAGCTGGCGCCCGAGCAAGGATAATAAAAGCTGGTGGGGAATGTCTTACTTTTGACCAACTTGCTTTGCGCGCTCCTAAGGGTATCATTACTTTATGATTCCCTTGTTTATATAATTTCTTTTTTAAAAGTATATTTTTTACCATTCCATACTATTTTTATTATACATATTTCTTTGTGTAGGTTCAAATACTATACTCCTGAGAGGGCCCCGTAATGCAAGAGAAGCTTGTAAACACTTTGGTAGAGCGCCTGGCGTGCCTCACTCGCACACGAAGCCTTATGTTCGTTCCAAGGGCCGCAAATTTGAAAAAGCAAGGGGCCGTAGGGCTTCTCGTGGTTATAAAGTGTAGCTCTTGAAAAGTAGTAGTAATAAATTTATATAAACTTTTTTTAAAATTTTTCCTTTTTTACAGGTTTTTTTCTTTTATATAATTTATGTTCTTATTTACGTTACATGTAATCAACCGGTGCGACTTTGTGGAAAGCGTTTTAAAGCGCTGTTTTTACTCCAGAAAGATTGCTCTACGGTAAATGTTTTTAGTAGATTCTTAAGATATTTATAAAAAGAGCTTTTATGATTTTTTAATAAAATTCGGAGATACATAATATCAACCAGCAGAAGGTACTTTTGTAAGTTAGAAGTTCTCATAATGGTTAATAACAATTGTGAAAAGAGAGCAAATAATTAAACTTATGCCTGTTGCCCTTTTTGCCTTTTCGTAAATTTTACTTGACCTTTGTATTGGCATAAGTTACTGATTTGTTTCTTGCGAAAGCTGTATTGCTTTATTTTCACTAACTTTTTAAAGTATTAACGTAGAGGAATGGTGTAAGTTGGTAACTGCAGTGTCTTCTCAGTGCTCCAACTAGTTAAATAATAGAAGAGAAAGCTGACACCTTTTAAAAATTGATAGATTACTTGATTTTTAAGGTATAATTTCTGAAGATATACGTGAAATTTTGTTTATAAAATATTAAAATTTCGTACTGGCAATATTATAAAAATAAAAAATAATTTACGTAGCAGAAGATTTGTATACAAAATAAATAAAAATCTATTTGTATTTACTTATAATATATGCCTGTAGGGTATCTGTAGCGTAAATAACTTCTCTTACCTGCTAATATTTTGATAATAAGAGCTATATTAACTAAGTTAGCTAAAAGGGAACTTATGAAACACTCCTTGAGCTCTTTAAAAAGTTTTAACCAAGGGGAACTACAGTCGTTTGGTTAGGCCAGAAATAGAATTGATATAAGGTTAACTTACAATTCAACCATCTGTCATTGTGGTCGACTTTCATTTTGAATAGGGCAAAGCGATTGCACGTGTCTTACGGGTAGTTCACGCCTAACTCAGTGACAATAGTTAATTTAATAAAGCAAAGACTTATACGTGAAGTTGACGCCTAAAATTTTAACCGGCGATAAAAGCTCAAAGTACTTCTAAGTTACATAAAGCTTGTAGTTTTCTAGTTATTTCAGTTAGGGATAAAAAGGTGCTTTTAAAAAAATTTTTGCTTTCCTTTTAAGATTAAAACCTCTTAAAGTTTAAAACTTTTTAAGGATTTTAGCAGCTACTGCGTAAAATTTAATTGAACCCTTTTAAGAGACCATCGAATGGAAATGAGAGTGGCGTTGGTGGGAATCTAATAGAAAATGAAGTAGGAGGGGTAGAAGAGATGCCTGGAAGATCGACATTTGTTTTATCTATTTGTTAGTTAATTTATAACTGACATGCTAAAAAGAGGTCTCTTTTTTTAGAAGACCTCAAAAACTGCTTAACCTAATTTTGTTGCGGTGAAAGATCGGATGATAGGTAGTCAGTGGAGCATGAGACACAATTAACTTGATCGAGGTCTCCCGTAGCTCTTGTAAAAACACGTATCGTAAGTTACTTTTTGAATAAATAGCGGATTAGAATGAGCCAAAAACTTTTTATAATTTCTCTTTGACTGTACGTTGAAAAAGGATTGTGGTGGAGAAGAATAAAGCTTGGAACAAACCATGGCGCGCCTAAAAATTCTCAGTATAGAGTTTTTTAAAACATGGAGTGGCTGAATAATGGCAGGGGGCCAACATGACCACGCCACCGATGCTTAGGCCATCTTTGGTCTAACAGTGGTGAGATAAAGTTGAAGTTTGTTGCGAACTAAGGAGATTTTTTCGGCAGATAAGCGGGTACAATAGTTTGATCTCTAGTGACATGAGCAATATGGTTGCAAGAGAGTCTGTTATCTATGAAGACGCCCAGATAATTTCTTTTTGCGCGCCAGGTGACTGGTGTACCGTTAATGAGAATTAGTTGGACATACAATCTTTTACATCTTTTAATAATAATTATGGCTGCGCTCTTTGAAAGGTTAATAGTAAAGTGCCACTGGGCGAACCAGAGCTCGATATCCCTTCATTTTATGCTTGCACATGTTTCATTGCTAGCGGAGCTGACTTAGAAATAGTAAAAAGTATGTTGTGTTATTAGGAGAATAGTGATTAAAATGTTGAGATTTTGGTAGATCTGATTATGTCTGCCTTGTAAATCGAAAAGAGGATGGGTGAAAGTGAGAAACTTTGTGGCATTCTCCGAGTTCCTTTAAACCCGAGCAGGCATTTCCAATTTTAGTAAAAAACTCTTAGGTGCAGAAATAATTCAGTTAGGGAGAGGAGGCACTCTGTTGTCCTTAGGCTGGTCATTTTAGTTATGAGACCCGCATGCCAAACTCTATCCAAAGTCTTTTCAGTACCTAAGGAAACAGCACTTATGGACTTCTTGTTGTCATATTCCTTTGTCACTTGCTTGACGAACCTCAAGAGTTGCTGTGTAGTTGAATAGCCCCTTCTAAACCCAAATTGGTTTTCAGGGATGATATGGTTTTGTTCTACTTATTTCTGTAATTGCCTGAGTATAACTGCCCTCTGCTACTTTACCGGCAGGCTTAGTAGACTTATTGGGCCATAGTCAGCGGGGTTTGAGAAAGTGTTTTTTAATTTTGGTAGAAAAATAAGTAACCACTTTCCATCGATCTGGAAATAGTGAAAAACTAAGAGTGGCATTAATTATAAGAGTGAGTGTTTTTATGGCCGACTTAGGTAAGTTTTTTAGCATGAATTTTGTTTGACCATCAGATCCTGGTGACTTATCAGTTGTGGTGTTAATAATTGATTGTATCTCTTCGAAGTTTGTGATCCTTTAGCGGTGCTTGCCTACTAGAAGAGAATAAGAGATGTGTGAGGGTATTTGTCCTACCTGAAGAAATTGTTACGGGTGGGCACTTGGACAGGAGACACTGAGCAAAGGCTTCCGCTTTCTCTTTGTCGTCGTAAACAGTTCGGTTTTCGACTTTAGTGGGAAGCTGTGCTGGATTTTTCACCGATTTAATGAATTGCCAATAAGAACGAGGGCTATTGTTATTTCATAGATTAGAAAGCTTATTCTTCCATTCACTGTTGTGAAGCGTGAGTAGACTATTTTTGACCTTTTATTCAAGGTTATCTAGTAATCGTTTATATTCAAGGGGCTGAGTTAATGCCAACTTCCTCTTTTACTTTTTCTGGATTGAAGAAAAACTTCAACTTCTGTGGGCAGATGTGGTTTTAAATTTAAATATTTCATAGTGGTAGAGGCCTTTGGTATGATTGAATGGTCGTGCTTACAAAGTTAGCTAATGAATCATTGAGAAATGGGGGTCGAATTAGGTTTCAAAGGGTTTAAAAATAAAAAAAATAGTTTCCAACTGCTGAATTTATGTAATAAAGGCGGAGGGTCGACTTCTGGGGAGCCTATTTCGAGAACTACAGGTTGATCTGAAAAGAGCTCATATAAAGTCGTCTGTTTAACTTCAAACAAATATTTTTTATAAAAGCAATGCCTAATACATCCGCAGTACCCCACTTAGGAATTCGTGTTGGGCTGGTTAAATCAATTTTCGGCGTACTTGTTGAGAATTTCTCCATTAGGACTTCCCTTTCTGCTATTCCATAATGTATTTTTGCAGTTCAGATCGCCACATAGAATTACGAAGTTATGATAGCTTATAGAGAGGTTCACTTCGTTATCTACTAGGGGCTTTCCAGGAGATTTAAATGCAGAGACAATCGCTACGCCGCCTTGGCCATATAGAATTATTTTAATTGCAAATTGCCTCTATGAAAGTTAACTGATTGAATAAAATATCTGAGTGGGCAAGTGTCTTCTGACCAATACTGCTACACCTTTTTCGAGAGTCAATTCTGCCTTTACGGTATAGTTCGTAGTTGTGCAATATAAAGATATTTCCTGGTTTTAGGTGTGCCTCACTCACAAGAAATATGTCGATTTTTACTCTTCTAAGAAGCTCTTCCATTCATTCCCTTCTGCCCCGCAGGCCATCGGCGTTCCAGAGTAGAATATGAATGTACTTTAATGCTTTTTGCGGGACAATCGATTTGAGATGTTCATTGAGAAATTGGGTTATAGTAAAAAGTGTAGTTCTTAAATAAACAGGTTATTCGTAACTTTGCCTTCAGTGCTGGCCTTCTCTTTCGTTGAGGAAGTAGAAATAGTTTTTATAAGGGATTCTCCTGGTTCAGGTACAGTAGCGGTGGGTGTGGGTTGCATTTTTCTTAAGTGTGTGTTTTTCGGATAATATGTACATTCCCTATAGTTTGCAGTGTGATTGCTCTAACGTTTAGCATATTTTGGTGGGTCTCCGGTGTTTTTGTTCATCGTATAGTCTCGTGACTTTCAGCACATTTGCCGCATTTGTGGGCAGAGAAGCAGTAATTTGAGTTATGGCCGAAAAGCTGACAGCGATGGCATTGCCCAACCCTTGTGCTGTTCTTCAGACTTTTCACAGGAATTGAGAGATAACAAACAGGAGTAACATAAATTAGTAATTTGACCTCGGTAGATGCACAAGAACAAGTGAAAGAGGTGTCTTATCGTCTCTAAGGCTTTTCATTCGAGCGACTTTTAACGGGTGGGGCCCCTGTTGTCGTAGCTCTTCTTTGATCTCTTCGAGTAGAATTCTGGAAATATCCATCTCAAAACTACTTTAAGATCGCTCTTCAGGTATTGATAGGAGTAAAATTCATAATATCTTTCAATGAGAAGCTTTGTGGTTTTTCGAGTCGGAACTTGAGAGGAAACTTTAATACCGTTTCGGGTATCCCTTGAGGTGAGTTGTTGGCGCTACTGTTTGATAAAAGGGAAACTACTTCTAACCATTAATGCTTTTCACGTATAAATATGGGAAATATGGGATGAATGTTCATTTTAGGGGGTGCGGTACTAGGATTGTCGCTGGTGGTGGCTTTGAGATTATTTTTGGAAGTGTTACTGCTCTTAATAGTAGGGGTATAAGAATTATTATTATTACTATT